AAAACTACATTTGTATATGGTACAGTATAAAACCAATTTCCAAAGTTTCCAAAGGACAAAGAATAAAATTGCAAAAGGGAAACACAAGAATGCAACATGGACATTTCTGTATTTTAAAAATATGTTTTCATGATGAAATCTCTGTATGATGGAGATGAGCTTAAATTCAACAGAGACGAGTGGGTGGAGAGCATTAATTGAAATTGCACATGCTTACATGTACAATTAGTAAGGTCTTTGGTTCTTGATCCAAATCTTTGCCTTGACTTTATGAAACATCTAAAGGTAATTATTCTTAACTTACAATATAATAATTACAGAAGAAGGATGTCTTAGACAAAACTATGGATAAGAAAAGTCTATATGAATTATTAGAAGGTCTATATGAATTATAAAGACTTTCATGTATTGTTGCTTGTTTCCAGATGTACACTTAGGTTCAGATTTACTACAGACTATCAAATCAGTGAGGGGTATGCTGGTGTAAACAACTGATCTGAATCTCTTTTGAAGTCAGGTTACATCTGTAAGACTAATTCCTCCTCCCACTGCTGTTTTATGTCTAGATGAAATAGTGCAGGGATACAGCGCATCTGAAAAAATCTCCAGTAAAATACAAATGAGTTTCTCCTAAACTTTGGAAATACAGTATTAAAAACTGGTGGGCCCTTGTACATTTTATATATATGTTTGAAAAGTGAATGCAAAATATGAATGTTCTATTTATGTAGCATCTCTTGTCCCTTTCACAAATAGTAAATGATTACACCATGTGCAAGGCAGCAGAGAACAAGCACTGAATTTCTAAGTTTCTACATGTATGTATAATAACGACTATATTTTACAGTAAAATAATCATTAAAATATTTGTTGCCTGAAACGTTAAGACCATGAGGCATGCTGAGCACTTGAAGTAGCACTTTAGAATCACTCAGTGTTGCCTGATGGATGTAAGTATTTGTATCATGGAAGACTGTTAGCTGTTATTTCAGTACAAAGACAACTGACAGTTTTGCTGAGTTACAGTGATAGTCACGCTGTGGCCTGAGCTTCACAACATCACCAAAGTTGTGTCCCCTTGTGTCAGTAGAAGCTTTGGCCCGCATTTTCTTAAGTTGGGCTCACTGGCATCATCTGGTGAACTGCTCGACAAGACCAACATTAAACAATACTTGGCAAGAGAGAATATCTGTGTTTCTCAGGAGAACAATAGGTTGCTTATTGCAACGGACAAACAAAAGTGATGGAATTCCAATTTTAGTTCCATGTTGTCTGACAGCCTGGGTAATAATGCTTGAATTCATTTCAAAATAGAATAAACCAGTATTTCCACCATGAATATATCCAATTCACGGTCTTATAAGTGACCGTTAATGTCATAGTATTTCGAAGGACTGCTGCATCACTGATACAGCAACAGTGCACTTTCATATATAGTTCTGCTTTCTCAAATAGCCTTAAATTCAAATGTCACCACTGCATATTTATGGCTAAAAGAAAAACTGTTAAAAAACACAGACCTTTCACACTTTAAGAGGTTTCCAGCTTAATGTGATAAAGTTTATCCCTTCCCTACTGACCTCTTTAATACCTACTATAATCTTCCTGTGCAAAGAATGTGTCTACAAGCCTTTTTACCTTAGAAAATGTGTCTGAATAAATGTTTTTCTTTCCACAGATTAATACTTTGAATTTGATTGTGACAGGTGGCTGGAGATACAGTCACTCAGAAATTTTAAGATAATTTCTTGGGAGCCTTTTCATGAGTAATTTGTAAATAAGGAAAATATTCTGGTCTCAATTTTCATCTATTATATATATATTTAAAAATAAAATATTATTGTTCCACCATTCAATTAATACTGAAAAATAAGACTGCATGGAAGTATATGAATAATATTTTTTTCAGATAGTATTGACACACATCCATTAGCAGTGATTTTGACTGTAACTGCTAGAGTTTCCTCCCAGGAGGAGGAAGACGCTCCTTTTGGAGCTGATTAACGTTCCATGCTGCAAACTGGGCATTTCTGAGCCAGAGGAGGCTTTCCGTCCCTGGGATCAGATAGGAAGTTCTGCCTGTGAAGCATGGAAGCATGGTTTTGGCTTTTTTTTTTTTTTTTCTCCTGCAAACAGGTGCAATTCCACTGATGTATTCAATTCATCCCAGTAAGTGTTTGGCACGAAGACTCGGACCTTGATTTTGAATCCATTTGTTTCAGTGAATCGGGAAACAATAGTTTTAATAACTATATTATAAAAATCTTGAGTATTCACTAAAAGACTAACAGCTTTTAGTAAAACAAAGTCAGTAGCTAACTGAAGAAAGCATAGTGTGCTAGGCTGTGACATTAATGGAGCACACAGTGGTAATGTGCATAAAAGGTTGCAGAGAATGAATGTATAAATGTTGTATATTAGGGTATGCACTGAAGTATCCAATATGATTGAACAGATTTCAGTAACTGTATAAAAGCGACTGCAATTAAAGAGCCTCTGAACATTAATTAATTCTCATACCATCTGTATGAGGTGGGTCTGTCTATCTTGTTACCAGGCTGTACTGCAGTACATCATTTGTATGCATGGATTTCATAGAAGTATACAAGAGACATAGCATACGATTTTTTTGTAACTAAAATAGTAACAGTTAGTACGCCAAGATACAGAATTCTGCTTCTTCGTGTTGTGAAATACATACCTTCCCATGCTGTGGTGAGAAAGGGCACACTTTGACCACCAGTCCATAGACTGCAAAATACAGAAGTACATTCCCACTACTGTAACGCATTTTAAAATTAAAACTTTAGGAGCAAACCCCATGGAAATCCAGAGTTAGTGTCAATAATTTTAGAATAAAAGTAGTTATTTTTCTAATTGAACACAGCATGCATATAAAATACAGTATTCTATAGTACTATTGTCACATCTGGTGGATGGATTAAAAGAAAATTGAAATTCCTTTTTCTGCTGTTGGTGGATGATTTGTCACATTCCTTAGTGCTGGGCTGGGGAGATGTTTTATGAAAGACTTAACTGTAACACACTGTAAAATGGAAACTGCTGTAGGAACCACGATTCTGACTTCTCTACATTTTCAGTCTTGGCAATATAGTACTGAAAGAGAGCACATTTTTGTATACAATTTCCCTACTGGCATAAAGGAAAAGATGAATTTAAACAGTCTTGGCAGCTCCAGGAAGTTACCCAGAAAATAGGTGTGGTCTGTGTTAATTTGATAAAGTAGGTTAAGTCTTATTTCATTTTTCAAAGATCCCCTTGCACATCTCCAGTGCATACACTGAACAGATCCAACCCTGTTGAGGGAACAGCATAGCTCCAATACTGATAGCAGAATGGCTGGTGGTAAGTGATATTTTTATTGTTTTAATTGAAGCCATTGCCAACAGGAACCAATTTCTAGATGAAATATGGAGAATACTGCTGGTGGACCCCTAGATAAGTGCTCCAATACCTGCAAATTTCTTTTATACGGTGAGATTAGCTAGTGTTATCAAAGGCAAAATATCAGTCCCTCAGTGCATATAAAACATGCCAATACTTGTTCTGTAAAATCTGACAAGCTCAAGAATGCACAATACAAAGGAATCGGCCATTGACCATTTTCCTGGAGTTTACGGCTATTTATGCTCTTTATTCTAACAGAAAGCACCATGTGAGACCAGGCCAGCAAGCCTGGAGGTATGAAATGTTCTCTACCAGTGAGCCGGTGAGGGATGCAGACACAAGCTGGGATAGCTCTGGGAAGCTGAGCACCATTTGCTTACAGAGGAAGCACTCGCTTTTCAGAGCACAAGAATCTTTGTCCTGGTGTTCATGGAGAAAATAATCCGTCTTGGATGCCTAATTAGAGATGCACCTGTGTACTCTGTAATGTATGTAGTGGAAAACATTGGCAGTGTTTTACAACAGCTGGTAGGGAAAAAAGTCCACATGTTTAAGCATCTTGGGAGATTTAAGTGTGCTGCATGAATTGTGTTATGAATGCTTGCTCTCACACTAAGAGCTGCTGGACATGCATGCTGAGTGAAGTTTCATCTGGCCAGCAAGAAAAAACAAAGGGAGGACAAACTCTGGTACAGTTTATTTCAGTTGTTATGTGTAGTCAAATAGTTTTAAGGCTGCACTTCAATGAAAGCTTTGAACTGGCGTAACGTGGCACCATCTGTGAACGGAACCGTCCCGCCTGCCCCCTCGCTACCCCCTTTGGTGCCTGAAGTCAGCTGCTTGTGGTGGCCAAGGGCTGAATTGGCTTGGGAAAATGGTCCATCTGTAAAATAAACCCTTTTTTGTTTACCGGGGTACTTTACAGGCAGATCACTTCACTCATCTGGTTCTACTGGAAGGGTCCAGAAATGTTTGTACTGGCACACGGGCAGAAGAGGAGGTAGAGGAGACAGGATTGCTGCTTCACACACACTGCCAGTTTAACACGCTTGAACTGCAGCCCAAATAAAACCCAAAACTGCATCCTGGGCACAAACAAGAACTTGTGAATGGGTTTCTGCACCTCTCCCTTCCCACCACGCTTGGCTCCCTGCTTTGCAAATCGCTGGTGTGTGCCATTAAAGTTGATGCATAGATTTCCCTGCTTCGCTGAGCTCTGGAACGCCAGAGCACACCAGCCCTAACTGGGTCAGAGACTTTCTTTGTATGAGCAGGCTGAGCTGCTGGGAAACCTTGCTGGAGCCACGCAGCAGCTTCTCGCACACGCTTCTCTCCCAGAGCGATGGGGGGGACGGGGTGAGGAGGGGGAGCGGATGAAGTGGGGCTGAGCTTCCACCACACTTGATCCCCTGCCAGCATAAGCTCCCTTACAGGGCTTACAGCCACAGCAGAAGTCTGAGTAAAGCCCCGGCTGCTCCCACGGCTGCCAAGGCTAAGCACCCTGTGATCGGAGCAGTGCCACCAAGCTCCGCATCTGTCACTCAGATCTCCGCTGTGCTGAGAAAATGGAAGGTGGACGAATAAGAGACAAGTGAGCCTATTAGTATTTATTATTTGTATTATTATAGCACCTCAGTGCCTAGTTGTGGACCAGAATCGCATCCTATTAGCACTGTGCAAACCCAGAGCCAAAGTACTACAGTCCCTGCCCCAGAGAGCTTACAATCTCCGTTTCTGCTCAGGGGATTACAAAGAGATGGTGGGGTAAAAGGAGCAGTGACAAAATGCTGATCACTTGTGATGGACAGTGTTGGTTTTCTGGTAAGAGCCATCAGTTCTTAAATGCTTAGTTGGATTTAGACATTCTTCATACAGTCAACACTTTGTATTTCTCAGGGAAAAAAAGCATCAAGAAATCACACAGAATTTGATGTTACATTCAGTGAAAACCATTTTTCATTGCAAGAAACACATGTAAGGTTATTCTTGAAAAATATTGTTTAGTCTGTATGCTCTAAACAGATATCTGAACACGTTTACGAAGTCTACACATGCAGTGTATAAAGAAAGTTAAAAATTTTTAACAAACTTACTTTTTTGGTTCATTCCTCTTCGCACTCTTTTGTACTCTTGCAAAAAAGAGACACCTTTTCACTCAATTTTTAAAGACAAAAATAGAAGTGATTTCATCTCAACTACTCTCCTGGATACACTTGTATTTTCTCTGTGCTCATGATTTAAAAAATAATCTACACAGAAATTATCACATTGGTGGAATTAAAAACAATGCTAGATACAAGGATAGAGAACAACTGTGTATTTAGGAAATGTGTGTACCTGATTTTACAGGTTTCTCTGATAAAAAAGTGCAATTACAACTTTGTGTGAGAAGGACATGTGATTTACAGCTTTTTGCAAGCATATCTTATGTGCATATTTTTAATAACTTGCCTTTAAGGGGCCCAATCCTGCTGTTCTGCTCAAATTTTTTCTAGAATCAACAGCTCCCTGACACTGTGCTCTATTCCACTGGCCTCCTACCACGTGTCATAGTTAATACTGTGAATAACTCAGTGGAGTTCAATATTCCTGGTTTTAACTATAATTACTCTATGGTAGTAAGTTGTTTGCAGGTTTGAATATCTTACAGAGGCCTGTAGGACAGTATGATTTATCCCTATGCAGAGGAATGAAGGGACACAAGAACTAGCTGGATAGTTTGTAAAATCATTAAATATTTTCCATGATCAGCTCTGTTATTTGACATTTGGATAGCCCCCTCTGAAATCACCTAGTTAATCTACACTCTTTACCTGAAAACAACTTCCAATATTAGCTTTCTTCTATGCATTCTCTAAATTGCTGTAAACATCCAGGATAACCATATATATATACACACATGGGTATGTGTGTGTATACATGCATATACATGTATATTTGTATATATACACACACACACACACAGAGACATACATATATACGGATATATAGCTAGGAAACAATAATGTCATTTTTATTGCATTCTTAAGTATCATAGAACAAGGGTATTATAGGCACACATCTTAACTACTTGTCCTTACTACGGTCCTAAAGCTCATTTACCTGAGATCTGCATCTGTAAAAATAAAGTTCCATTTTTAGCTGCATATTACAAAAGACTAAATATCAGCTCCACAGATATGAAATTACAACTTAATTTTGAGACTAATTGACTACAAGTAAAATATGCTATCTTATAAAAAAGATACTGCTGAAAGAGATACATATTAAAAAGGAAACATAACTCTTAGAGGTTTGAAAATCTCCTTATGCTGTCCCACATTGGTAATAAATTTATAAAAAATATTTGACACCGAGAATCTCCACAGAAAGCATCCTGCTGAAATCACACACCCTTTAAGCCACCTATCTTGCAAAAGTTACATAGTTCAGGAGGGCAGACTCCGTATTGTAAGCATTTAATTTTCGTCGTCTCGTCTGTAGTTGATAGTTTGTATTTCCTGAGCTATGAACATAGCCATCTCTCTGGTGCCCGCAGCAACCACTCGGCAGGACATAAGATCCAGAGGTCCCCCTGAGGTCAAGAGGATTAATGAGAACTGTCTTACGTGATGTAAAAAGGCAATGTATTCTTAAATACAAACCATGCTGTGATTGGGTTGGTTCAGAAACACTGAAACAACTTCATAGGTAGCTCCTTTTGGGGTGAGAAGGGCAACCTAATTCAGCAACTCCTATCCGGAAATCTCCAGCAAAATGATTTCAGAAAATGGTAGATACAGTGCCAAACTATGCAACGGAAGCAGCAAATGTTTGGAATTGTTCAGTATCCAACAATAAATGCAATATTCCCTTTTTCTAGCAACAGGAAGGGACAGAACATAAATTAGTTCAATCAGCAAACCCTTCTTCTTAATCCACTATATCTTTCCACAGTGTCCACATATGGGTCACCAGTGAATCATTACTCTGAGATGTGTACCATCTAAATGAATAAAATAACAATCTAGAGACTGTGCTGTCCTTTACTCCCTCTGAGTAGTTCTTAGTCATGCATGTTCAGACATGTACCCGAGACTCCTCCTTTCTCAGGAGGCCGTCTCTGCCAAAATCTGTTTGGAATCTGAGTATATCTACCAATCTCCTGAGTTAGTTCTTTACTGTAAATCTGAGGCTTTAAAGGAATTACTTAAAGTCATGGAAATACAGTTTGACTCAGAAGACCTCTGATGTGCTGAAAACCCAGGCTGGAATTACATCAGTGTGTTATGAATAACCAGCCAGAGTCTAGTGGAGAGTACAGAAGTTTCTACAGAATACTGCTAGAAATGAGGTAGAGCCACAGGAGGACTGTACTGAGGTAACACAAGTTGCCCCAAAATAGCCTCTCAGTCTCCCAAAAGTCAATGAAAACAAGGATATTTTACTCACCTGAAGTGTCTATCACGGTGCCACCCGCCTCTCTAATAATGACAGTCGCTGCTGCCAAGTCCCAGCAGTGTAACCCAAACTGGTAATAGGCATCTGCAGCGCCGGACGCCAAGTGGCACAGGGCCAGGGTTGAGCTCCCGATGACGCGGACCCTAAACCCCGCAAGAAGGGGACACAGAGACGTAAAGCAGAAAATGCCTTTGATTTCAGCCTATGTGTCAAGATCGCAAAATGCGCAATGTACTTGTTTGGTTTTTTTGGGGTGGTTTAATGACTTTCGATCACAAATGTGAGACATATATTGTAAAATATCTTACCCGTGTGCTTGGGCCTTGAGCAATCTCTCAATGTTACCAAGGAACAATTTCAAAGTTGCAGGGTCACGTTTTGGACCAATTTCTGTTAAAATTAAGGCCTTCGAGATATCTGCAATGTAGGTAGTTGTTTCTGTTAATTCAACAGCTTCCAGGTAGATTCTGGAAATTTGTTTTTAAATTAAACACTAATGGACTTTTCACATAAAAACAATTTTCATGTCCATTTTTTTACCCCAAACTTTTCCATAGGATAAATGACAACTTTGCATAAAAATTGAAGCAAGACTGTCTTTCTCACATCAAATGAGAATCTATTTGAATCTAACCGATCAAATGAGATCTAAACACACTTTTAAAAAAAAAGAAAAACAGGAAGATTAAAAACTAGAATGCCTTCTTAGATTCCTTCTCTTTCCATACATTGTTTTATTTCCTTGACTGGTCAGCTTTTGGCAAATTCAATAACATTAGCAGTCAAATGAAATTAATCCAGTGATCTAGCAACTATTAATGATGCTAATCTAATCATATTTGAAAACAGGATTCCTTGAATAGGTAACATTAATGTAATTTGTTAACAAATGATAAACATTTGGAAATACAGTAAGAGGAAAGTAAAGTTTCTACCTAAACCATCAGTCATCCTAGTAATAGCTCTCCTTCATTCTGATATTTCAAAGACTGAAGACACCTTATGACTGAAAAAAACCCTTTCTTATCACAAACTAAACCAGTATCTTAATTAATAATAATGTATGAATGCTATTTTTGTACTGTGTTCAGCAAAGGCCATTCTGACCTACAGCAGATGAGGTTATCAGCCTTGTGTACAGTCAAAGGAAAGACTCACGGTGACTTGCAGGGTGTTGAAGTAGTCCTCACGTGAGATCTGAATATTGCTAGTATATAACAACCGTATGCCAATGTAGGTGGAGGTAGTTGATCAAATGCCAAATGTCCCTGCTTCTGCTGTGCCAGCTGAACTTGGAGGCATTAAAGGTATGACAAAACTCAAAGGTTTAGCTGTTGATTACTTACTAACTAGGCTGTGCCCAAGTGTTAGGTGTCACCTTCTACCCTGGGTTAAAGGCTATGCATTCCTTCAGCTAGGGATGTCTATCTAGTTATTACAGCTAATTGCGTATGTTGAAAATTCTTAGCAGAAGCAGCAAGGAGGTTTTCAAAAGCAAATTAGGCTGGAGTGAGACAGCATTTAATTAAACAGTCTACCAAAGAATTTAGTACTGCAGAGGAACATTATGGATTCAAGCAATGCAGTAAATGGTTGGTGAGTAACAGGTATGCAGTTAGATTAAAAGTTACAGGATATCACAAAGCATAACTGTAGGAACATAGATTTAACAATTGCTTTTTAAGTTACTGCATTAAAATATAAAAACACCAATCCAGGCACACTGCAGGGTATTCATTGTTTAGCCACCACTGAAAACTCTGGATGGTGAAAACAATCTGCCTTAGATCTTTTTGCATAACAGACTCAATTTATAATTACAGAACATTTAATGCATGTCTCATTGCTGAAATGCACCAAACATTCACACCACACCAGTCACAGCTAGGTCATGACTAAGACAGTTCTTTTGAGTTATTAAAGATATTTCTAATGTATAAATGGATCTGTTCAATTTTCATCAAGGCTGCAGGTAGAAATTGGATGGAAAGACTAAGGTAAGGAAGAAGAAGGAGATCTCTGCTGAGGGAAAGGAGCTGGCTGACCACAAGAATTGATAGGGTTTCAGGAATTCAAGGTAGAGGAGAAAATTTACTAACTACTCCTCACTCTGATAGGGGCCAGAAAAGTAAAGAGGCTTGGTAGAAGAGATTTAACACTGATATGAATAGATTTATGAGGAAAAGACCCAATTCTGTTGACCACAGTAGATTAAAAAAGGGAAAATACACTTACAGTATTAGCACATGTAAGGCCTGATCTGAATCTAAGTGTGGGATGAAATACCACTCAGGATCAAAGGGAAGATGGATCCCTCATTTAAATTTATCCTGACTGCTTGGACTCCCATACCAGACCTCTACAGAATTTGGCATTGACAAAGAACAGTGTTTGCCTGGACTGTGATTTCAAATGATTAAATCTGAACAACGAACGTATAGCATATATCAATGTTATACAACAGTCACACTTCCTGAAAACAAAAGGCATGAAGTAACATGACAGCCTAGGTCTCCAACATGTCATGCACTGATGAAGGCTACTTGAATTCCAGCGGTAGGTACAGAGAAACACCACTCTCTGTTCCAGGGTGGGTTTATTTCACTGAGGCCACAGTCCTTACAGGAAAAGAACAACTGTGATTTTATACACTTAAGACATCAATAGAAGTGAGACTAAAGAAGATCCATCTTCACTGGTGAAAGCACCCACCACCAAATGATGTCTCTCAAAACAAAGGAAAATTTCAAAGCATTTGGAATGGCAGAAGATCCACTTCCCTTGCTGTGTTCTAGATACCCACATAGGCTGGATGTCCCAGAGAAAGGAGAACAAAAGTGGCGTGTGCCAAAATTTCCTTGCTCAACTCTCTGACTGCAAAAGTGAGTGAGGCCACTTCAAGAGTGGCTCGGCCAGCCCAACTGTGTGCACCTGTAATCTCTGACAGCATGGGCTTTTGTGGAATATGAGATAACTGAGCAGTGACAAAAATGTGATGTATAATCAAGGATTAAAATCTTAGGGATCACTGACTTTACAATCTGCTCCATGTCTCCAAACAAGGAGACTCCGGCTCACTATTAATTTAGATGAATAGCCAAACTTCCTCAAATTTCAGAGAAGTTTTGATGCAGGGTCTGCTTGGGGAACTACAACAAATCTGTACATTAAATTGCTTGAATTTACTGTGTTTCAAGTTCATTAAATCTTTTTTTGGGGTGAAATTTTTATGATCTCCTGCGTAGAACGACGTACATTTTTGGCACATGTCTGCTTCTGTCTACAACTGTGTTATGTTCTCTTCTGCATTTTGATTAATCAGAAGAAAACTTCTCTACGCACATATGATTATTGTTATCTATTATAATTAGGTAAATGGACAGATCTCTGATTTGATTTACCAATAAAAGAATTCCATTAAAGTGTTGACTACATGTTGCTAGCTATTTGTAGGTTGAAACATACCTCACACACAAAAGCAAGCTGTTAAAGAACCCCTAATGAAGCATGCATCCTTTAGTTTACTTCACTGTTAGCATGTTTGCTTACAGACATAATACACTTCATGTTGTACAAGTTTATTGGAAAATCAGTGAATAATGGCCATTATAGTACTCTGAATTTGATTCACCATTCCCATTGCATCTTGCTCATAAAAGGTTATGCCAGCATACAGCTGGAATGAAACTGGTGAATCTACTCATTTTTCCTTTTTTCAAACAATGGTTATAAAGCAAAATCATCTAGGATTACTTAAGTAGTTCATATTCAGATGTATATTTTAAAAAGAAAATGAGGAAAGTTGTGATTTTTCAGAAAAAAACAAACACATAACAACAAAATTATCATGCAGGTGAAATACTTTCCATCAGGATAATGATGTTCATTATCCTAATGATGATTTGCAACAACTCTGAAACAAAATTAACATATTCCTTTTAGAGTTCTAACAAAATCTAGACCAACCTGTCTCTTTTGATACCTGAAGCCTTTTGTCATTACAAAATGCCCCTTGACCTCTTCTACCAGTGTATAATCGTTCTTCAGTGCAGTGGTAAATTACACCAAATTCAAGCTTTAAGATTTTGAAAAGGAAAGAAATGAATGCAACTCAAATTACTCATCATATATATAAACAACTACTAATGGCAGAAAGATCAGCAATATTTTATTTGGTACATGTAATTAAAGATTATATTGATGCTAATAAACTGGAATAATTGTACTATTACTGTGATACTGAGATATAGGTCATATAAAATTCAGTTTATAAAGAGAAGTTAATGCAATCCGTTTGTGCTCTTCCAAATTCTTACTTGCATCTTGTTTGTGTTCACATTAGAATGGACTAAATACTAAGTTGATTTCAAATTCAACTTTATGTTTTTATTGAAAGTATGCAAGTCCTCTAAGGTCAGATTCTGAAAGCTTTACTTTCACTGGTGAGCAGTTACACCTAGAAGTAATCCCACTGACTTTGGCTGGACCCTGAAGATTTCCAGCCCCAAACACAGATACGATCAGCCAGGCATCCAAACTCTGAAGTCATGGCACATGGTTTATTAACAGTGGATGCTTTTACATGCACTTCACCTTTCATGATGCATTTAGTATGCCCGCCTTTTCAACCAAAGTAGTACATTCTGATCACTTGTTCAAATATTTCTCTGCAAAATCCTTTCATTTACACATAAAAGTGAGAATCTCATGAAGTCACAGGACTCCAAGAGAAGGAATTTGAAGAGAAATGCCAAATACTGTCACCCTCAATGAAAGCCTGAGAATGAGCAACACTGGAATTTTTGTGGGACTATCTGTTTACCAATGAGAAGAGGGTCAGAATCTGACCCTTGATTTAAACCCAAAGTATTTAATATTTCCATTACTGCAATAGGTTTTTTCACTTTACAAACTTCAGTGATTGGCTCCTAAAATCACCCCTAGATAAGTACTATTATCAACATTTTACCTAGGCGTGGACAGATACACAAAAATTAAGTGACTTGCCCAAGGTCACAGAAGAAGTTGGTCATAAGGTCAAGAAAATGTCTCACATGTTCTAGACTTACAATCTTTTCCTGCTGCCCTCCTTCATTCAATCATGGGTGTTCATCAGAGACAATTCAAAGGGAATAGACTGTCCTTGCTCCCCACTCTGAGGTCCCATCTAAACCAAGGGCTTTTTTTGAGGAACACACTATTAACAGACTCTTTCCCTGAAGACATCTGCAGGAATTTCTTCAGTACCGTTCAAGGCTTACATTCAGGCCAGTTCCCCTGTGTGTACTTTGGCTCCTTTTCAGCTTACTACTTTTTTCTGCTTTTCCCATTTGTTTACTGAGGGAGATTTAACAGAATTCTTTATTTTTGTTTCAGCTTTGTTTAGTTTACATAACCCAAAAAATGTAGCATCAAAATCATGATGGTGTTCTATAAAACATAAATATTAGAGAAAGTTGTCTGGTATTAATATGCAGTATTCAAAAGGACCTTTGGGAATGAATAGACTTCAGAAAAGCATGGAAGTGTTTCTCTGCAGTATCCATGTTTGAAAAGTCTAACTAGAGAAGTACACAACACTATTCTGTTTAAATCAGTAAGAGCCACTAGCACATCTGAAAACTATGTTGTTATTGCACAGAATTCTCGCTGGCTTTACTTACAGCTATACATATATTTAAGATCATGGAATTAGGCTGAAAGAGGCACATTCCTTGGCAATTTGAATAGCTATTTCTTCTGTATATATCAAACTGAAAACCAGCAACATCTGGAGAAAAGGCACTAGTATGAACAAGTATAGCTAGGAACCTCACAATAGCAGATATGAAGGCTAGGTACTTTTTTCCCATCTGTAATCAAGCTCTCATGCTGAAATATAGTTATTTTACTATGTAAGAAAACCACAAAAGCCGATTAAATGAACTGGGCCCATAATTTTGCACTCTTCATAGAAATAAGTTCTGAATTGTCTCATAGCAGCCATTAGCTTTCACTTAGCCATTAGCTAGATACTGCTAGCAGGAAAGAAGAAATAATAATAACATAAGAACACTGGGACATATGTTTAAATTACAAATAGGCAGCACTATATTTAACTCATTATGGTTTTGTCTTACAATACCTTGCTCACATCAATATTCTCTTTTTTTCCCCACATAAATCCTATAATATTTATAATGAATTGTAAGAATTGTTTTGTAATTGCCATTTTGTGTAAGTAAGTTTTGCAGGGCTATGATTTTAGACTAGTAGAGTATGATCAAATGCATTAGAAAAGTGTGGAAAAGCCTGAGTAATGGCAGATTTTTTTTTTTAATTATTTTATTTCAAGTTCCTACATGGTTTTGAGGCTTCTAACCAGCTCTCAGGTACCCATCTTAAAGAACATACTTCATACCTCTTTGTTAACAGCAAATCCAATGCTCACTGCCACTGTTGGAAATCTGTGAAAAATAAGAAATTAAGTATTATTGATTAAAAATCTCTCAACTTACTTGTTATGCAACTCACTTAGGCAACAAAACCCCACATGGAGCTCTGTGATTTTACTTGTGTCAGAATGCTCTTGACATTGTACTATTCCTCCTCTGTCAGCCTCTGTAACTTTGTCAGTTCCTTTAAAAAAGTAATTTAATACTGGAGAAGGCAAGCAATAATCACATGATGGTTTCAGGATTTTTATACTAAACGTGTTGCATATTTCAGTGATCTTTCAGTGTAATTGAATTATCCAGTATAAAATCATTAATGTTGTTATAACAAGTCATGACTTTCAAGAGTACATTTTGTTCAAGCATCTGAGACAACGATTAAGTAGCATGGAGATACCTTGCTGCTGACACCAATGTAAGGAGAAACCAGTTCCTCTACCATTTCCTTTGTCAGAGTAATGATCATGTATTTAATTTGGTCCCTTTGACTAAACTATAATTATTGCATTTTAAACAATGAAATAAATTAATTTATTAAAAACACATTTTAAAGAGGGCTGTAAAGTAAAAGTCCAGAAAATATTGCTAGAAAATTTCCACAACACACATGTACCTCACCTTGAATTTTATGCAACTGCACCTAAAGTCAAGGAAATGCCTTTTTTTTTTTTTTTTTTCTCATGATAACTGAAGTTACAGTAAGTTACTAACTGTAAGGCAGAACATATTTAAATGTTTAAAGTAGAACTATTATAAATACTCATTAGTTTACAACTCCTAGCACTCAAATGAATTAAACTTTTACATTTTTGCAGTAATGACCCCTAGGCTTCTTTTTGCAGAGAGGTACTACAGAAATTTAAAACCAATATCCATGTACAACTTAGTTTTCAGTTCTACTCTACTTATATGCAATGCTTGTACTTCCCAGGAAAAATAAAGCATATGTATTTGAGAGGGAGAAAACACCACTACTAAAAGGAATGTGTAACAACCACATAAGGCGTTAGGCCAAGTGTCATCATAGCACAGCCTTGTTCCTCCAGTTCAGCTCAAGTCTCTGCACGTTAGTGTGCGGTTATATATAAACGAGCTGTGAGTCAAGAGCTTTGGGTCATTAAGCAATCAGCAGAAACTTTAGCTTACCTTTAGGTAACCATATAGAACTCTCTCCAGCACAAACACACACTCCCTCAGATACACTACACGAGGTACAAAAAGATAAAGGGATGACTCCTACTCATGAGTCAAAGGAACACATCTACCGCAGTAAAACACCTTTAAGCAGAAGGGAGGATTTGTGAGAAGCAACATTTTGCTTTTTATGTATTTCTCGGTTCACTGTCCACTTACCTGTGCACAAAGTTGCACGTTCCATCAACAGGGTCAATAATCCAGGTTGGACTGTCAGTGAGAACACATTTTGAACCAGCAGCAGTGGATTCTTCTGCAATAAACCTGCATTTGGTGTGGAGTAAAACAAGTGTCCCAGAAAATTGGTTTAGATACATGACTTGGAAAGTCAAACTTCATCTTCCTGTTTTTGAAGACATACTTAATTCATATATATATATAAAATTATTTTTAAAAATAAATGTATATGTATGCATAAATACAAACACTTTTTTTTAAATTTGAGAATGTGGAACTTTCATAGAAACTTTGAAGGAGAATTTTCAAATTTATAGCATACTATTTTACATGGTAAAAAAGAACACCATTTATGTTCACTTTTTCAATATACCATTAAGAAAGTAATGAAAATGAATGCAGAAGTGGATCTTAACTGGCATCTCCGGAACTCCAACAGAGGTTTTTTTTTATGCAGAATGTAATTTTATGGGTTAGGCCTGTCTCTTGCAGTAAGTAATATAAACTGCAAACTGTAGCTGCTTCTGTTTTGCAGTCAAATTCAGTCAGCAGGAAATAATGTACTCTTAGAAAATCCACAGTCTCACTCCTACTTGAATTTTTTGCAGTAGTCTGACTCAGGAAATTAAAAGGTTTACAACGCTGAACTTTCTTTTTCCCATGACCCAGAGAAAACCAACAAATTAATTTTTTTGTTTGTTGTTTGGATGCACAAGGCACACACTGAAATCTGAGCTCTTCTGTTCTGCTGTTCTGTCCCAATTTCTTTTAGCAGATATGCTATGTTTTTTTTTTTTTTTCTTTTTTCCCTGGGAAATGAACATCCAGTTCTGGCACATTTCCTGCTGACCTTAATTATCCCTACTCTCCCATAAACTGCTCAGGCTGTTTCTATAAGTGTTGTGCAGGTGCTACTTACAGATTTGAATAAAGTCCTGTATGTACAGGTGTAAAATCAGACTGCTAGTACTGAATCTTGCTTTTGGTTTCACATTTGAACAACTGGTAGTGGTATTCAGAGTTCCTGCAAATGCTTGAAGATGAAAAAGCTTCTCTCAAAGACACAAAGAGAAAAAAAGTGGATAAAATAAAGAGAAAATGCCTTTTCTGGAAACAGTTGCCTCCCTAGGACTAGAGTAGCAGCTATTTTCTTTCGTGCTTTCAACACACATTGCATGATGACACATAATGCTTGCAACCATAAGCTTAAAATGTTCTGCAGACAGCACAGGAGGAGACTTCTTGCATTTTCCAAATGCTACTTTACCTTTTCCTCAGTAGAAAGGGACTATTTTGATGGCGTTATGGGCCCCCAGTTGGTATGAAGAGGGAAATTTGTTACTATTTTCATCTCCATTAAAGATAACAGCTGAAAGATGAATTGTTAGTGCACAACTGAGAAATGAGAAAGACTTGAACAAGTGTTTGGAATTCTCAGTCAAACATAACACTTTGCAGACTCCTTGCTCTAAATATTTCATTATTTTGTCTTGTTGGTGCTGTGTCATTTGACTTTTGCTTTTACAAATCTTGTAATTAGCACCTAAACCCAGCCATATCCTTTGGCTGGGCTGCTGGCTGCAGAGATAATTTTCTGGCAGATGAAGCACCTCACATCCCATCTCAGGTTGTCCATCTTCCCCATAAATTATGCCTCTGCTTCAACCCTCTGCCAGCTCCCCCAGCCAGAGCCTGAACTGTAGCCGTTGTCTTGCCAGTCAAAGAAAGGTGAAATGAGAACCTCTTTAATGACAAAAGTATTTTTGTGCAAGGAGTTTTGCCCTCAAGTATCGTCAGTCTGTCCCTTGCCTTTTCCTCAGAGCATGGTGAAATGCTGAAGTCCTTACATACAGAAATGCTAATGTGAAGCCAGGGCACAGCAGTGCCATCATTAAAGTCTTGATGTCCAAGAACAATTTTTCCAAAATGGATGTAGGACAAATTAGGTGCATATTTTACAAAATTTGGACTAAGAGGTTAAAATAAGCCCCTTGCTGTTATACGATACTGGGAACTGTGAGACGCCCTCAAGGTCAACATCAGATGTGTTGCTCTATGGCTCTCTGTCCTGTAAAAACATGCAAACTAAGCAAAACATTCAGCCTGAAGTACTGGAGACCAAATTTTAAGAACAGCTTGAGAAGTAGAAGGGGTAGCCATGTTATTACAGTAGTTAATTTAATATGCCAGCCTGTCAGCTCTGTTGACCTCTCTTCAAATCTGGATTAAAGTTTTCTCTTACTGAAAACGAGTACAGTAATTTTAGCCTAGCCTTACTGGACATCTGTTCATACCATGGTGTCACTCTGAAATTCATTGCTGGAACAGCAGGGACACTGTAACACAGCATAAACGGCAGCAGGAGCGATAGCCAGTCTAGTGCAGGAGGTTCAAACCAGGACTGTCCCTCATCTGTCCCCTCACGGGGGCCCGAGGGCAGAAAGTCGGGTGGCTTGAGTTGGATGTCACCCTCTGCAATGGCTGTGTCCTGATTTTAATGTCTACAGGACTAAGGCCACAGTTAACAGCAAAGATGACAACTTGTGTAACAATATCACGGGCAAACAGTACGATAGCCTTTTTCAAGCAGTAGTGCTTGATATTCTGGCTGTGCCTATCCACACTTCAGAGATCTAACAGAAAAAATATCCTTTTAAAAAGACTTACTTGGAGCATGTCAGAGTACCAAAGAGTGGGCAAAGATGAAAACTTGTGTGAAGCATGGATGAGGATGATACATATCATTTAACCAAGAAGAGAGAAGAAAGAAACATGGGACAGAATGGAATTTTTAACAGGTTTTCCTAGTATTTCTCTTTACTTCCGAGTACAATTCCAACATCTCAAGACTCATCACTGCCACAGTGCAAATGGCACAGATTCTGATGAGATTCCTTTTAATTTTTCTAACTCCTAAAATACATCTTTTGATTCAGAGAACTTAAGAATCGAGATGATCTAAGAGAAAGAGAAATAACAGAAATCTTCAGTGATGCTTTCAACAGCCAGATCAGGGGAGAGACTGAACACAATTTAAATGATCTTTTAATGTTTTCATTATACTTTAATTTAAACCTTGATTGCTACTCTGGACTTCTCATTGCAAGTGTTTTAATCTAGTCTAGTTAAATTTAGTTTTAATTGCTACTGTGGACTCCTCTTTGCAAGTGTTGTAATCTACTCTAGTTAAATCTACTTTTAATCTGTTGTTCAATCTAAATGCATTCTCTGTCTGAAATAACTCCAACCAAAACCAGTATCAGCAAAAAATAACTGCCTTGAAGAAATAGCAATTCCTTCATTTGCTTATAAAGTCAGCAGTTAACTATACAGAGTTAATAAAATCAGGAATTTTTCAGTTCCTAGGTCTATGTTGACCTTGTAAATTTTGTTCCCATTCAGAGTAACTTGAGTGCTTCTGATGATTTTCATTTTATGTGAAATGTGTATGTTTTATATTCTCTGCCAGATTGTTCAAGGAAAAAAAAAAAAAAACAACAAAAACAACATAAGAGCGGAGATGAGAAAAGAGCACAGCTAGAAATAGTAGAAGGAATATTACACAAATAATAGGCTTGTAAAGCCTGGCATTCTCTTGAGAATTGCAGCCAAGAACCACATGCTATGCTGTACAGTACTGCTTCAGTATGTGATCACATACAACACGTATTTAGAAAGCCATATTTAGTATATAATGTTCTTTTTGCTCCTTCTTATTTTTTTTTCCCAGCAGCATTGCTGACAATCAGATTAGTAGCTGAGCCCTCCAGATTTTCATCTTTGTTGATTTCTGCACAGTGCTAGAGCACAGGGCTCATCTCTATCAGAAATACATGCAGAAGAAAGTCATACAGTATTTAAGGGATACACAGGCTCTGCACTGGCTCTGCAGGAAGACAAATTTTATCCCTGTGGACTGAAGGAAAATGTGGAAATTGATTGCAGAGTCTCTGCATCAAACCAAACCCAACCAATACAAAACCTCCATCTAATCTGTGCATGTGCTAGGAGTTGTTATTTTCAAATTGACCATAATAATTCAAGAGGAGTCAACAATCTGATCTATTTTTAAAACCTTGGGTTGACACCCCATATCGTAATTTATAACCTGTTTATGTATACACATCAGATGATGATGATGATAATAAACAACCCTGCTTCTCACTGATTTTAGGATTCTATACCACACAAGGTAAATGTGATTAAATACAATACTTGCCCTGATCTGCAAATGCTTATATATGATGGCAAAAGAAAGTGAAGGAAAGGTCTGCAGGACGAGACCTTTGCAGTCATTAATTTCAGCTATATTTTAACAGATAAACTTAGCATAATTCTTATACAGTGGAGAACACATCAGTATTCTGAAAATCACGGAGATCCATATGAAACCTTCATACATGATGTCACTACTGGGGAGACGTTACTATTAAGTATACATATTAAGAAACATAACTATTAGAAAATATGAAGCACTAAGTATAGGGAAGTGGTACTTTTTGAAAAAAGGAGTCCTATGAAAGTGTCTGACAGCAATAGATTAATATATGAGAGAAATATAGACATTTAAAATTCCCTTTAAATGACAGCTCTTAAAGGCAAAAAGGTCATGGACAGTTTCCTTCTATAGACACTCACCTGTGGGAGGGAAACTTCTCTTTCAGAACAGAAATAATTAAATTTTCTACAAAATGATCAGTTTCTGTCACAAGATCTGCTGCAGATGTCTTTGTTGACACTAGTTTTTCCTCTGTTAGAGCTTTCCTAATAATCTGAAACAGAAGTTCACAAATCAGATTTGTTAGCCAGTCATCCTGTGTACACTAAAATAATATAATTACTGAAAAATTATAGCTAATCCTGAAAAAGAACTGTAGGCCTAATTCTGCCAGAGCTGATTCTAATTCTTCTGACTAAAAATTCTGAGCTAATGAGCAGTCTTTGGGAACATGGCATTTTGAATCACTCTGCAAGAACCTCTCTTGACAGTTCAGAAAAGGATTGATGAATGGGATGAAACTAATGGAATAAAAGGATGATGGCAGTCATTATGATTTAGGAAATTAAAAAAATATATGTAAGATAAACAAGAGCCGTCATGCTCAGGAATTTTTCATGGAAACACCTTTTTCTTTTTTTAATTTACAGGGCCAATACCCCACTGCTCTCTTCTTTTAAAAAACACGCTATAATGCAAACCCCATTGGTTTCTTTTTTTTGCCAACAAAGACACAAAGTTTATTTTTTCTTGTGTATATGGGTTTTTGGAACTTCGAGTGCTGACCACCTACCAGTTCCCAAAGAACTGATATATATTTAACAAAAACAACATTTTAGACATTTCCCTAGATATGGAACTGATGATCTAACCCTGGATTCTCTTCTGGAAAAGTCTTTATCTCATGTTCAAGGGTTTTACTGTTATAAACTCAGAACTAAATCACATCGAGTGCAAATGCACATATGGCAAAACAGTTAATAAAACCTTTTTACCAACTTTCCTATTTTTCTGGGTTTTTTCCACTCCTTGATTAAAAAGAAAAATAAGGGGGAAGGATGCAAAAGGAGATGACTTATTTTTTAACCAGTGAAAATTATAAACTATTTGAAGTTGGGAAAACCAAAACAAGACAAAAATTAAGCATCACTTATTTGTATAGAATTATATTAACTAAAACCAGCGCCAACAAGACCAATATTCCAAGTCCCTCCTAAAACTTATATATTTCAATTATTTCACTAAATTCCCATTGATCAAAGTATTTTAAAACCATCAAGAAATGTTTGGTGACCAAAGAAAACAGTTCTGCTGTATTATGCATGGGAAAGGGAACCAGTAACTCCCAAATTTCAGTCTCAGTTCTTGGGTTTCGTAGTATAAAACACTACATTTGGAGGGTGTGCCGATTGTTCTGGCAAGTAATAGATATTGCTGACTGTTGCCTTAGTAGAGAAAACATTAATTACGCCTACTGAGCCTTTGAGGGCGGCTTACTACATTTTGGTTTGAGGTCTTGCTAAAGTTCATTATTGTATATGAAAATGTATATGAAAATATTAATCTTTTTACTGCTCTCAATGCCCTGCACAGTTTTCCTGAATGTTTTACTATGGAAGCATAAAAGCGCAGCTCTAGGAAGGCCTTTGGTCTCCTCTTTGGTCCAAAGCAAAATCCAAAACATTCCAATTATCTCAGTTGTGTATTCTAAAAAAAATGCTATGCTGATAACTTTTATTTTAATTGCTCTTCTTTACTTTTATATTGCCTATATGTAAGTAAGTGCCCTGCTTAGAACTGGGCTCAGAACTTAGCATAGTGAAATAGATGAGGAACACACTCCTTTTGATAGAGAAGATTTTAATTTCTTCTTAGCAGTGTCATGTTCTTGACCTCTATTCAATTTTAATACATAGTAGATGGAGGAGATTTTTGCAGCCATTTAAATCAGTGCATGTCACCGTGCAGCGGGCGTGTGAGATCACACCTGAGCCTTGCTGCAAACAGAAGACCTGAGGCAAAAGCTCTCTCCCATGGCTGTGCTCCGCAATCAGTTGCTTCTCATCCTGTGCTCCAGCACTTGATCTCTCCTTTTTGAATACAATCCTTTGCACCTCCCGGCACTGAATTTAATATTTTTCATTTCTGATTCTTTCTCCAGTTGTTCATAACCACTTTTAACCTTAACCCTGTCTGTTGCTCTGGTGATCTGTGCGTGCCAGCCTGATGCTCCAGTCACTTTGGAGGTGGGAATAGCCAAGGGTGTGACTCTGATACGAAGTTGTGGCTGATGACCTTCTTGCCCACCTCCTCCTCTGCGGGCCCATGCCGAGGGGCTGTGCTACACATTACCCAGCCCTACGACAGACTGCTTCTCCCCACCTCTTGTGCAACCGCTGTGTTGAGGGGAGAGCAGGAGAAGAGTCACGATGCTGTGCTGAGGTCAGCAGCCACAAACAGGCACCACATCTGTACTAGCTCACCTGCGGTACCAGGTGACGCTGTGGGATGGACGGGTCCCTGCTGATTCTCTGCCTCTTATGAAGGGTCTGACAAAAGGGATTCATATGCATTTGCACCAGCTTGTAGGGGTATCCAAGCCAGAGTCTCACAGAGAAATCAAATTCCCTGCATGAAACAGCTTTTATTCTTCACAGATTTATGAAATAGCTCAGAGAGGTCCAGAATTCAACTTATATCAGATAATCCCTAAAAATCATCTGCCTGCAAAGAATGTTAGAGCCTGGTGCTTCAGAGTACCTCGAAAGCATCACTCAGCTCTTCTCCTTTCAGAAGTTTTACGGTAAGGTTCATAGATATCTACTGCAATTGCCTGGTCTTCCCAGCTGGGCGTGGAGCTCCATAAAGTCTCACTCTAGGTGATAGGCAGCAGGTAAGTGGAAGACCAAATGAACTACACGTTGATGAAATGAAAACAGCTGATTGCTCCTTATCACTATTGTACAATAAAATTGGCAACCAAGATGCTGTATTTTGGCTGTAATTGTATTTTACTAGGTTTTATCATTGTATTATAGATTGTCCCTAGATTATGGAGATTTTACAGAAATTTCTAAGCAGCTGATTTTTGGGAGCATGGTTATTTAGAGCAGAGACACTTAACACTTTGTGCCGGATTTGTGTGGTGAGGATTTTGAGAGCAGGGGAGGGGGCTATGGGGTGGCCCCTGTGAGAAGCTTCTCGAAGCTCCTCCAGCTCCAAGTCAGACCCACTTGTGGTCAAGGCCGAGCCAAGTCAGAGGCTGTGGGTGCAGCTCTGCAATAACATATATAAGAAGGGGAACCTGGGAGGGGACTTGAGAGGAGGAGTTACGAGAAGGATGAACACCCAGGGGGTCAGTGGGAGGAAGGAGGAGGAAGTGGGGGGAGGTGTGCCAGAGCAGAGACCTCCCTGTATCCCGTGGTGAGACATCAGGGCTGCCACCCTGCCACAGTGGAGCAGAGGTCGACCCGAAGTCTGTGGAGGAGCCCACACCGAAGCAGGCGTCTGCACTTAAAGGAAGCTGGGACTCTCAGATTAGAAGCAGCTCTTGCTGTTGTAGTTCAGTGCTGGGAGAACTGCAACATACAGGGGTTGATATAGTATACTTCACACTTGCTGAATCTGCTTTTTGGTCAACAGGGTGACCCATGCCAGGGCAGTGTGGGAAGTGCTGCATCCCCTGGGTAGGACTCACTGTGAAGAAGGTTCATGAAGGACTGTCTCCTGTGAGAGGGGAGCCACAGAGAACAGGGGAGGAATGTATTCACACCCTACCCTGAGCAGACTGTTGTAGTCCCCATCCCCTGTCCTTATGCCCTGCCTCTTATGCCTCATAAAATTATTTTATGGGAAAAAAAAAAGAGAGGGAAAAAAAAGTAGTTTGTGTGGACTGCAACATGCTAGCTTCTAGTCTCAGTTTTTTACCCACGTTTTCACCTGTATGCACATCTACTGATTTTGGTGAAGTTTCTCCAACTGTAATTGCAGAGAACTGTGCAAATATTACTCAGTGCTCTCAATAGCATCAAAGATGCAGAGACTAGTCATCCTGCTTTTCTTTAGGAAAAAGTCATATTAAGCCAACAGGCGTACTCTGATGAACATACAAAGCAGAGTTTACTCACAGAAAAAGCAGCAGAGGTTTGAAAAAGTGCAGTTAAATGTGGTCTTATAGAGTGAATTAGACATGACTTTAATGCAGGTCAGTTGCAGAGATTACAAAACCACGGCCATTCTCATTATGAAATAGCCATATATATTAAATGAGAGTCTGTGATACTTTGTAAAAATAATGGAACTAAGTAACAGGATGGACAAGAGGGGCAATTATTTTAACCTCGAAATAAAAGTTACTCCAGCAATATCACTTTTGACGCATATTTAAGCAATCATTTCTTTATTGGCCTTTTAAGTATAGAAGAAACTATTTCAAAGCATAGATGCCTATCTGTTGGAAAGAAGATATATTTTACTTATACTCATGAAACATGATGTAATATAAGCAAAACATTTGTGTAAGCCAAAGGGGGAGACCAGGAAATCTGTATTACATGTTAACTTTTCCTAGAAATCCAAAATCTTGACTTGTATGACTTTCTTCAGATTGGCCTCTGCACCAGGAGTCTTGTAGACACTTTCTGATGATTCCGAACCTTACTAATCTGCCATGGTCCTGCAAAATGGAGGGCCTTAAAAGAAAGGCTGAAGTGACAAAATTTCATGCAGGGATGGAGATAGGACTCAGACCTGGGGAGACAGAGAGTGCAACCAGATTTCTGGGGATGGAGGTAAAGATGGAGAGGCCTGAGGGATGGGGAGAGAGGTGGAAGGAAAAGATGAACTTTACCAGAGGAACTGACTATTTTTGGTGACCAAAATAAAGCCCAACAAAATTTGCAACAAAAATCCAGTCCTATCAAACCTATGTTACACTGCATTTTGTGTCTTTATCTCTAGCTTCTTTTGGAGATAGCTGGTAATGGATTGACACTTAAATAAAAGATACAGCCCTACCCGCACCTTTTCTTTTACGAGGATCGCTGATGTTTTTTTGTAACTAAAACCATTCCTTAACATTACAAAGTTAATAAAAATCCTATCCAGTTCTAAACCCCTACTTAAACAACATCCTTGACTGTTTTAAATTTGGCTTGCCAAGGAATAGGCCATTTCCTGCCAGTTGCAAGGTAATGATGGCAAACTGTGAACTAAAAAGATGCAGGGATTAATCTTCTGGAATGTTTATTTCTTCCAGGAAAAGCTGCTCAGCTGTGACCTTCTGGGCAATTAAAATGGCTGGAGACAGTTATGGCTGTCTTCACAAATTGATATTTTAAAAAATAAGGTGTGGAGGCTCGAGCAAGTCATGAGAGTCTCTCTTGTGAAATGGCTGGCAGAATGAGTATGCTGGAGAAACTCGTGTTTGTAAAGTCTGTGAGAGCATGACCTGTCATCCCAATTTGGATTATCCATTTATTCCCTGAATTTCTAAACCAAGTCTCTTCTCCTCTACCATTTTGTTCATCTTTGTGCGTCTCTTCTACTAACAAGAAAATAGGCTTAGTAACACATAGCAAGGAAAAGTTACAGGTTCTGAACTCAATATAGAAAAAGAGGCTCTTTAAATCATAGTCTACAGGTACAAAGGGTGTTTCAAAATAGAGAAGAATGGAAGCAGAAGAAAAATACATGTTGCTGAGGTTTGTTTTACCCAATATCTCATCTGAACAATCTGCTGATCCCACTTCTTGGCTCTGCTAAGAGTTGGTGGAAGTTTTGCTGCTGTACACAGTGGGGCCAGAATGTCTCCCAAGATGACTAACCTGCTGCTGTGTTGAAACACGGATATTAAATAAGCTACTGTAGATCTTCACAGAGCCACTGCTGATTTGTCCCTAGCAAGTGAATTTCAGTCACTCTGAAGACACTGGTATATATTCAACAAGACAAAACCTCCCTGATGAGACTGTTTTTCTCTGCACAAGCTGCTCAGACACAAATGCTGGTACCGTAATGTGTAAATACACAATATTCTGGATAAATGCATCATGGCATGAACCCTCAGTTGTACATAAATTCAATATTAGCATCACAGCATGCTCCAAAACGTTACAGGAGCAGGATAAACGCTTGGTGTAGATTTGTAAAAGTTACTGAAGTGCCTTCACGCTCACAGATCTTTCCACCTGAATATATATATTTTTTTAATTAAATAAAAATAAATTCAAAAAAAGTCACGCAGTAAATCTGCTTTCACCTGAAGCGCCTCCTCGTCCTTACGCTGGATGCAGCCCCCGATGGGAGCGGCCCCGCTGCCGAGGGCTCCGGCGGGGCCCGGCTGAGCGGCTGCCGAGCCCCGCCGCCCCCTTCCTCCTTCTCCTTCTCCTCCTCCTCCTCCCTCCCAGCTCTGCGCACCAGCCAAGCGCCCACACGGCCCTTCCTCAAACCGCCCGGCAATTTATTATTATTATTTTTTTCCCGTTAAATTTAGAAGCTCACCCTGTACCACCGCCCGGGAGGAGGATGCTCCAGCCGCGGGGCAGCCCGGATCGCCCTCCCGGGCCCCCCCCCCCCCGCGTCCCCTCCCGCCGCCGGGCAGTTCCCGGGCTGCAGCGGAGCGCGGCTCGGCTCGGCTCGGCTCGGCTCGGCTCTCCTCTCACCTGCCCGGCGCGGAGCGCCAGCTGCACCGCCACCTCCGCGCACTCCTGCCAGGGGTCACCGCCGCCGCCGCCGCCCGCCACCGCCCTCCCTTCCTCCTCCTCCTCCTCGCACGGCTTCATAGCAGCGGCGGCGGCGGCGGCGGCGGCTCTGCTGCCCGCAGCAGGGCCAGGGGGGCGCGGGGGGCTCGGCTCCCCGCCGAGGAGCGGCCGCGGAGCAGGGTGACCGCCGCGCACGCCTCCCGCCGCCCGGCCGCCCGCCGCTGTCACTCCGTTCGCCGGCACCGCCCCGCCGAGGGGAGCGGGGCGGAGGGAGGCGGCCCGGCGGCCGCCGCGGTCAATGGGGAAGGCGGGCTGCAGCGCGGCGCCTGGTTGCTGGGCGGCTGGCTTTAGGTGAGCCCCGGGGGCGGAGAAGGGCCGGGAGAGGCCGGGGGGGGGGGTGTGTGTGCCAGGGCGAGGAGCGCCGGGGCCGCGCCGCGCCGCCGAGGGCAGGATGTGGCGGGGAGGCCGCCCGCCCGGCCCGCCCCGCCTGACATGGCGCCGCGGCCGCTACCCCCGGCGTGGGGCTGGGGCGGGAGCGTTTTCTCCCAGGGAACGGGCCGCCGTTCCCTCAGCCCCGGGCGGCCCCGAGGGGCCCCTCAGGCTGCCCGCGCCTCCCGGGGCCTGCCGCTGCGTCGGGGGCGAAGGGCCGCCCCGCGGAACGGGGTGGGGGGCGCCCGCCAGCGCTGCCGGGGCTCTGGCGGGGAAAGCTGGCGGCGAGCGTCGGCCGCCTGAGGAAGGAGGGAGAAAGGTGGCCTCGGGAGTGGAAAGGCAGCTCCGATTTTTCACTTCAGCAGCTCGTTAGTGCGTGAGAATGAAAGCGTGTGGTAACAAGTGCGTCCCCCTTTAGATTTTTCACTTGTCTCTGTATGTCGGTTAGATTGGTCAAGGATGAGAAGAAGACAATTAAGACCCTACTGTCCCAGAAACCGTATAAGCCAAATTACCATGCATTTGAACCAGCAGAGTAGGGGACTGGTGGCAGACAGCTGAGCAATTCTAGCTCCACCTTGCAGAAAAAGGGCGGCCTACGATGAATACGTGTGTGCGCAATAGAGCAACCAGCCTGTAATACTTGCAACACCGAGAGAGTGTTGGGAACGTACACTTCAACTGCCAAAGTGAAGCTTTTCCGCTTGACTTGTTCTGCTGCACACTTGGTGCTGAATTGGACAAAAGAGAGTCCGGGGATCGAGTCCGTCAGTGTAGCTTTTTGAAAAAGGCGTTAAATGCATCGAGTGTATGAAATTTGTTACTGTCTTTCAGCACCTGCTGTGTGGTGGAGGTTTTCATTTTCAGTGTCCTTTCAGGGCTAGAACAGAATTGCTTTAGTGGTGACCATATTTGCATTAAGAAAATTGCATAACACCACCACTTACTATTTCTGATGTGAGCACAAAATTAACTGTTAATTTTCTGGGGACTAGGACAAATTTAGTTGGCTTGGGTATTCTATCTAACCTAACAGACCCTAAGTCTAGATTGATTTTCTTTTATTGTTTATCTTGTAGGACACAGATGACTCTGGGATGAGAGGGGCATAACACTCCTGCCATATGTAGTTTACAGTAATAATAGACACTTTTTAAAATAAAAGGCTTGGATCTTTTCCTTGTAAAATAAATAACAAAACTTCATGGATTGTAGAGCAGGAATTCAACTTCATTCTTTAAATTTCTATGCTGTGGTGTGGCAGTGGATACCACAAAGATGGCAAGGCTGTCGACTTGGCAAAACATTTTCTAGTCCCCATTTCAAATCAGAATAAAACAGTGACAAACCCTGAGGAGGTGAATTAACTAATACCCAAAGTTTAAAAGTTTGAAATGATGAAGTTTTGTTTGTAGAAATCCTCAGCAAATATTTATCAAGCCATCTGCTGACTGATTATTCTAAGTCACTTGTTCCCTTCAACTGCATATCTGCTTTGTCCTCATGTAAGATGAGTTTCATGAAGTGCAATAACTCTATAAACACATAATACAGTTTGGAATATCATGGAACAGAATTGCTGTGGATTCTTGCTTAATCTCAATTTCCTCCAGGTTTTAGAATTTGTGCTTTTTATTGATGCCGTGCTCAGCATAGCTTTAGGTGGCTTCAGGACCTTGCCTAGAGAGTTTCTGTGCTGGGGCAGACAGGTAAACATATTTACTGGTGAGATGTATGTACTGGTGAGGTGTAGTAAAAAGAGCTTTAACTTTGGTAAATAAGGAAATCTACAGCTAACCATGGCTTTGCATTCTAGGAAGCATCTCAGGCCACGATAAAAGTGTTTTCTGTGTTTTTCCTTGGAAGAGGAAGTTTTAGTTACTGAATTGGCCAGCAGTAAAACAGTCTATACCTTTTGCTGAGACTGGCTAGATATTACTCTGATGTAGAGCAGATGGTTTCCTCCCATGTGTCTTGGGTCTGCTGCAGTGCCCGGAGGTTTGTTGTGATTAGGCTGCCACAGGAACATTTGAATGGTCTGTTTAACTCGTGTTTTAAAAACAGGACAGTGTGAATGATAGAGTAGTAGGCAGGATGAAGAAATATCCTCACTGAACGCAATTGTCGAAAATCACTGGCATGGAGTAATACTGCTGTAAAGAGGGGAGAAGTGCTCTCAATATTTTTCTAAGCAGGAGTAAGTCCTCTTGCTAAGAGATGTTTGAGTGGCATTTGAAAAATAAGTGACTTATCTGGCTCTGTAAAATTTCCCCAACCTTCTCTTTGTCCCATTGGTAGAATATTAGTAAAATGATCACTGAGCCTGAACTTGAGAGGCTGAAGTATCAACTGAATGAAGCTTTGGTTTTTACAGATTCATTCCAGCTGTGTGGCTCATGCAGGTAAAAGATTTAAAACAGAACTAAAAAGACAGGAAATAATACTTCTTAGAAAATCAGTGGCTGTGGCAAATATTTAAAGACCATTCAAAATACTTTGCAGAAAACCCACAGCTGCCTGTAAGGCCTATAAACAGATGGCAGTATTTCTCTTCATTCTCCTAGTTGGTGATAGCTGTTTTCGTATTACTGTCCTGAAGTTTTTTCAGGCCTTCCATAGCCTAGACCTGCCAGGAAGCATAAGCTTCCTACCATGAGCTGCTGGGTGATTTGAACGTCCGTTCACCTCCGAGCAGGTCGAGGCTGCTCTCTGTCTTGCTGGATCAGATTCTCAACTTGTCTTTCATAACTGCCAAGGTCTTTCATAACTTCTGATCTTTCATAACCCCAAACACTAGTCAGTTCCTCTCACATGCCTTTCGTAACCTATGGACACGCCATGTGTTTAATCTCGTCCACTTGGAATAAGCTTGTCCTGGATGAGCCTGAAATACTAGTGTTTCTCGGGTGCTTCGTTTCTCTGAATCCTCCTCAGCCCCAACTAGATTCATGTAGACGTCAGACTTCCGTCCCTGAGTCAACAAATGCTCAGCTGAGGGGAAAACCTGTTCCCTGTGACCTCAGAGCAGAAAATGGAGCGTAGTTATGGATTTTGTTCTCTCCCAGGGTGTGAAGCCCTTATTGACTTAGGTCTGGCTCAGCTGGAGGTGGCAGTCTCCTTCCCTTTGTGTCCTAAACCGCTGCACAGCGTCCATCAGCATGGCTGCTCTGCGTGCCACCTGGAGATAGCTGGTACAGTCTGCTCGGTCTGCGGTTCAGAAAGCAGGGTCACTCAAAGGGGAAGCTGCTGCAGCTGGAATTGGCTTAATTATGCCTCGGCCAACAGCTTGCTAGTCTCCTCTTCGACAGTAATTGCATGCTGTAGTGATGCAATAAAATTGGTTGTAGTTTTTCCAGAGGGAGGGTGACCTCTCTCTGTAGCTAGTTGGCCACTGATGTGGAATCCGCAGATGTCTTCCAGTGCGGATCCTTGTCACTTCATGGGTTTGATGGATGATCTCTTAATAGGGCATTAAATGGGAGAGCTAGTGGCTAGTGGCTTTAGTAAAAACACAGAGGGGAAAAAAAAAAAAAAAAGAAAAAGGAAGTAATCTTTTGGAATTATTAGCCTGAGTGCAGAAGAGCATTTCCTCAGCGTGACAGCCAGAGACTTGATGCACTGTTATTAAAACACTTCAGTGGGAATCTGTGCAGATGGTCTTTTTACACAGCATAGGATTATATTGGATTAGTCATATAAAATTGTTGTTTACTGTCTCTAGCCCTTTTCCCTGGAGCTTTTATTAATATCTCACAAAGAATGAAGTTTGAGTTTGCCTTTAAGAGGTAAACCAGATGACAAGCTTTTTGTTTGTGCAAACTACTACAATTGCAGTGAGGGATTTTTTTAGCTGATAAAAAAAAATGTTTGGCCTAGATTTTTGTTTTGCCTTTCGGCTGTACCAGAAGGGAAGGTAAATTGTAAGGAGATGCTCTCTCTCCTTGCTGGACTCCCCAGAAGAGCTCTGCTGATCCCATTTCTGCTTCATCAGAGGCAAACAGGAACTAGTAACACTGGCACAGTTTTTCATAATGCTCACTAGTGACTCATTCATGACATAACGCTTGATTAATGCACCATTCTACATTGTGTATTAGATGTTTCTTGTGTTCACTTTCTCTCACGCAGTCTCATATTCTGTCCACCTTTCTTCACTACATCCAGAAGGCCCAGGGATCACTGCTTGGACGCTCTCCGCATTTTCCCTCCTAGCACAAACTAACCAAAAGATAGTCTCTAATATGCAGTGCAGGAGTCTCCCTTCACATCTACCCTGGGGGATGATGAATGTGGAAATCAAGATTTTTGGCTTCAAAGTCTGGCAGACAGCTCTACTGGTAAAATGTCATCCTTCATGGTTTTCTGGTGTTTTCAGACTGGCTCTGTCATCCCTTGAAATTTTCCCTTCCAGGAGGTACGGCTGCTAAAGCTTTCATGGGGTGGAAGTGCCTTTGTCTAGCAAAAGGTGTTTTTCTTCTCTGGAGGGAGTTCTGTGGATAAGGTAATACAGTCCCAAGCTGTTATTCTTTTTCCTAGACCATGTCTGTGGATGTAGAATAATATGTGGTAAAGGTCTTTTTCCCTAGCCTTGAAGGGAGAAGTGGCAGACTGTCTCTGCCACATACATGCAAGTATTGTTTTTTGAACATTATCCACTGAAAATGCTAAAAATACTTCCCCTCCCCCCCAAAAAACCCCCATGAACTAGTATTATAACCTCACTGAAGATGATACAGAACTTCTGTCAGTGTGCTATGACAGGGATCCCTGTAGCCTAACTTGGTTTAATAAATATTACCTCTGTTTTTGTCAGCTTTAAGATTAAATTGATTTCATCTTATTCTTAAATGTTATGAGAAAAGATTTCTTGTTTCTAATTCTGCAGTCCTCTTAAATCCAATCAGATCTTGGTGGTTTTCATCTTGATATGCAGGAAATTTTAATGTTTTGAACTGAATTCTGAACTTTTGCATTTAGCTGTACTGTGGTTGTGCCAAGACTTGGGAAAGCCAGACTGCTTCTCCCTGTTTCGGGGAAAGCTTCTGAACACAAATGGGATTATTAATTCCTGACCCAAGCTCAAAACAAGATGGAAAAAGGGCCCTTTTCCCATGTTGGCCATTTTGGTTGAGACTGTTCCATGATTTTTTAAGTGGCTTTTGTCTGTGAGATTGGCAGCACTGATTGTGCCAAAGAACGTAATGGGCAGAAAGATTCCATGAACTTTTACATCTCCTGCCCTGAAAGGGACTTGAGAGTTGCTGCTGACACAGCTGGTGAATGGAATGAAAGAGAGATTAATTTGGGGCAGGTGAAATTTTTATGTGTTTTTACAAAGGCATGTAGATTTTCACAGGAGAATTTTACTTCCTGGAAAATCTCATGAAGATACTAACTCTGTGAGGGTTGAAAGGATACATACTGCTCTTTAATCTGTGTGGAAAAAAGGCTATGCTTGGAGTTATTGTAGGGTTGCATCAAATAATCCCATGCTCATATATTTTTGGACAAATCAATGATTTTGGTGCACATGTAGCTGAAAAGAAGTGCTATGGGTCACATTCCTGCTGTTTGGCAGTAACAGGCTCAGCACCAGTGGAATCGATGACATTTTCATTTGTGTGTGCCAGCATGAAATGTGTCTCTGTTCATACCTAGCTGAGTTAGAAACAAAAATGCAATGGTAAAAGAATGTGTTCAACAAACCAGCTGAGTAACAGTGTAGGAAATGTTTCTGCTGTAATTGTTTACAGCGGAAAGTAAATGTCTCAGTGGCATTCCATACATTTACAGCCACAGAGAAGTTTTTTAAAATTAATGTATGTTAGTATCTCTGGAAAATGAACATGTTTCCTAATCAAGTACACAAAATTCTTTTATCATATGTATAAACTGTGGCTTGTGTATACATGCAAACTAACATTATCTTTTGATTTTTGGATGCTTCAAAATCTGATATCTGGTGCTTACCCAGCCTTGGGCCGTTTTTACAGACCTATTGAGAATCTTTAATTTGGAAGAAGGGATGCCCATTTTGAAGTGGAGCCACTCAAAATCAGTGACCGCTTTTGAAAATGTTTGATCGTAATGTGCATGATAAAACCTACAAGACCTTCAGCTGTAGCTTTTCCCAAGAGTTAGAAGATACAAGCAGGATTTTTTTTTTTTTATTTATTTGTCATTTGTTTGATAAAATCTGAATCTTACACAAACTTCTTGCAGGTCTAGCTGCATAGTTGAGAAACCTGGCTGTTGTCTGCTTCCTCCATCTATCTTTAATTCCCGTGCCAGCCATGGAAAAGCAGGAGAGAGGGAGACTGCACGGCTCAGTTCCTAGGTCAGAAATTGGGAATTCCTGTTTCCATTTTAGCTCTGTTGGCTCATTTCCCAACTTTGCTGTGTGTTGTTTTCCAGCCTGTAGAATAGAGAAGATATTCTACTGGTAACAGTTTTTGAGTTCTGAAAATATTTGGATCTTAAAAACCGTACATAGCTGCTGCATTGTTGTCAACTCTTGGGTAAGCAGGAGAGCAACAGTGTGCCCAGAACTAGTAGTTGTGTTTGTAGAAGAGCCATGGAAACAGGGTCTGCAGACTTCACATCTGAGAATGACCCAGGACATACTGTGGGCTTGTTTTCTCTGCTACTTCTAGCCTGTCTAGGTTGTTCTCTGTGCTGCCCAGTGCTGAGTGCTGCCCCTTCCATGCCTGCTCAAGTTTCTGCAGAGCCCTGAATTAATTCATCTGTGTTTCCTCCTCTTTTTGTTTTGCTGCTCCGCCCATTTAAAAAAAAACAAACCAAAACCAAACACCTGGATACTATAGGAATGTAAGTCCTAGCAAGCCTTGCATATTCTTTATAAAACTCTATTCCTTGATATTCAAGTGGCCTTGCCTTGTATGGCATTAAGCAATTATGACTATACCTGGCATTCTCGATATTGAGGAAGAAATTATCCTACTCACACTGTCTACAGGGTGATACTGGTACATAGGGTATGCTGGATTCCACTGTGCTGATCTTTCTCCACCACACTATCTTATACTACAGCTTCCCTTTGTCTCTTGAAAAATTGTTTCTGAAGTAGTCATTTTACAAAGTTTTGCAAAATATCAGAATTACTATTATATCAGAGCATGTTCTCTTCTATATTAATAACATAGAGTCATTGAAATGTTGGCCTAAATGGGGCTTTAAAATGATCTTTTTCTCTACTTGCTGTATGCCAGTATGCTGTGCATATTAGATACACCTGTATCCAAAGTCATGCCTGATCATTCTCTGATCTGTTTGTTAAAACCTCTAGTGAGGGAGAGCTATGTGCATTTTTCTTCTTTGATGTTAAGAGAATTTTCCCTGTCATCCAGCAGAAATAGTCTCTGTTGGAGAGTAACTTTATTTCTGCTCACCCTTCTGTAGAAGACATGGGAAAGAATTTTTAGCATCCTTTCCAATAACCAAAGATAAAGACAAAGTCAGTTAAAATGATTCTTGGCAGTTTTCAATTTTCTGGACTAAATGAACACAGTTATTTCAACCCTTCCTGTTAATGCTTTATTATATTCCTCATGTAATTTTTATTTCTGTTTTCTAGACTCCTCAGGACCTCACCTGAGATCTTGTTTGTGCTGGATAAAACAGAATAGAACTGAATAATTACGTCTCAGGATACCGCTACTCCATCTGAAACTGGGATTTCCCATTTTCTGCAGCACCATTGCATTGCTGGCTGGTATTATACCTCCCAATTTTTTTTTAATTATTTTTTTTCACTACTACTGTAACCAGTTTCATCCAGCTGTGTTTTTATCAGGAAGCGACTTCCTGGTTTTTATACTGTGAACTGTCAGTTGCTAATTTATTCAATGTTAGCTGCTGATTAAAGTAGCAATTTTGTTGCCAGGCTATTTAGGGACAAGATACTTTGTCATGGGCCCCAAGAATTAGCAGTGTGTTGTGGCTGCTTCTGCAGTTATGGAAGGGATGCAGAAAACTTCACAGGTGGAGAGGATTTCTGGCAACAGCTACCACAGGCACGTCGTTCCCTCCCATGCACTCTTGGGTTGTTAACAGCCTGGATCTCGTGTATATGCAGCTCAGCACAGTGGCTTTTACCTGGCACTGTGACCCCTGTGTGAAGTGCAGGGATGGGTGACAGGCTGGTCTGGGTTGATGGTGGCGGAGGAGAGATGCTGGAGTAGTTGTGCCCTGGAGCTAGAGGTGTGCGCTGCCTCCCTTAATCTGGTTGCACTTACAGTTCCCACTGGCAGCCTAAAGTGACCCAAGTGTCTTGTACCATGTGGTACATAAGTTGTAGACCCACAGTAGGCAGCGGTGGGTTGCTGCCATTTGCCACCTCTCTTCCCTGGCACGAATGGTTCCTTGCAAAAACAGGCAGGCTCTGCAGTCGGATGGGCTACACGGTCAAGATGGAGGGGCAGGTGGCGCCAGCCAACGTCTTACACCAAAAAACCCCAAAGATGGCAACATGCAATGGGCTGTAAGTAACAAGAGAAGCAACATTTTATACAAAGGCAGGAGATGGAGAGAACAAAAGGAGGCTTAGAGAGTGAGAGAGAAACGGGCAAGATCCTGAATTGCCAATAACGAAGTGTGCTGAGAGCAGCCCACTATAATCCCTGCTTTGGGTCAGTCTTGCTGTGATGGGTTCTCCTCTCCTGGCCGGCTGGTATGTTATCTATATGTTATCCGGTCCTTCACGAGGGTGGAACGCTTCTGTCCTGCCTGTGTGCCCTCCAGCCTGCCCTGCCGAAAATACGCGCAAAATGCGACAGCCAAAGACGGCGAATAGCAGTAACACCGGCCAAGTACCACCAAGGCTGAGGACGCAGAAGGCCCTGCGCCGGGCGGCAGCAATAGCGGGCCCGCTGTTAGCTCCCGCCGGGGGGGGCTGCTGGAGCTGCCCCTTGCGTGGCTCCTCCGGCGATGGGGGCGGGAGGCGCGGGAATCGTCTGTGTGGGGACCCGTAACTCGGTGTGCGCTGGTGTTCAAACGTGCCCGTGCAGATCCGTGTGTGTCCCCCTGCGCTCGGTGCCTGTTAGTCGCAGAAAGGAAAACTGCCAATAAAACGAATGACGACTCGAAAGAGGCGGGCCGAGGCTGGGTGTTTTCACGCGGGCCCCGGCTTTGCGGCTGCCGTTTCCCCGGCAACGGGGAGGGCGTGGCCAGGGCCGGGGGCGGGGCGCGGTCGCTCCCCGATGGCGTCCGCCGCTGGGAGCCTATCCGGGGCGGCTGCGTCACAACCGTGCGCGAGCGGTGGTTGAAAGAGGGTGAGGGTGGGCGCCGCCGCCATGGCTCTGCCCTCCGTTCACAAGTGCTTCCAAGTGAGTGCGGCTCCCGGGGCGGCCTGCCGTCCGTCCGGGGCACCCCGCGGCTCTCGGGAGCCCGGCCCGGCCTGGAGAGAGCGCCCAGGAGCCCCGGGGCACGGCGGCTCTCGGCTTGGCTGGGTTTGCCTTCATCTTCAGGGGCAGAGCTCACGCTTACGGCAGCTTTACGGTTTCTCGTTGCTAGTCTCCTTCTCTTGACCGAGAGTCGGTCGGTAGCTTCGGTTTTACCTCACGCCCCGCAGGCTTGGGCGGTGCGGTGAATGGCGCTTGGGCCGCAGGGGCGGGGGTAGGCCTGGTCACGTACAGCTGGGCCAGGTTCAACAAACGTGCAGGCAAGAAATCCCGCTAATGCGGCTGTAGGTTAGTCTTTCAGCTTCGGTGGGGTTAAACCAAAAATAAATATAAGCTCACTTGCAGAGCTGATGTTTGGAGTTCAGAAGTCTAACTAAAAACTTCCCTGTTTTGTCCCTTTGTGATTTTTTTTTTAATAGAAAATCAGCTTGCCTTATTCACTAATGATTTATGAAGTTACATTAGAAGACTTTAATATAAGTTAAAGAAGCTATGTTTTAGTCAATTCTTTATAAAGTTTGAAGGCAACTATTTTCCTGCTATTTTCCTTTATTTATATAGTTTAAGATAAATGTAGTAAGACTTCTGGGAGATGTAATCTGAAAAATTAATACCTGAAATTAAGATGTTGCTTGATTTTTCTTTTTTTTTTTAATTCTCTTTTCAGCTCAGTGATGAAAATGAACAGTTAGTCAAGAAGTTGAAAAAGCTACACATAAAAAATAAGGAGCTAGAAAAGAATCTGGGTCAGATCCATGAAAAACTGCATCTGCAGCAGTTAATGCACGACTATGTCACAAGCAGAGAGTAAGAATTGTCAAACATTTCTTTTTGCATCAAAAGAAGTGTGATGTTTCAGGACTCTTACCTAGATGAACTTTTACCTTCTGATGAACTAGGCCTTATCTGGCCTGCACATTTTGAAGGACTGTCTGTGAACAGGATGGAGAATGTTGTGTGTAAAAGAACAAAAGATGCCTGGGGCAACTTGTACAGAATTAATTGCTGTAGTGAAAGAAACAGTTTTAATATCAGTAAGTAATACCCCTGCTTAGCCAACATGCTATGTCTAGCTGCCAGCAGTTTTAAACTTTTTTCACCACACAGTAGAAAGATAGTTAAATTGGATCACTCCTGTTTGAAAGATTCAGAAATGGGGACCTTTGGACCTGAAAAACTATGGTGCTAGTGTTTTGTAGAGTCTCCTGCCAGGGTTTAAGTACTTGTTCACAAAAATTGTCAAGTTTAAATTTTGGTGTGTTTATGACCCTGCATAGAAAACCTCTACTGTAAAATCAAACTGCAGAGTAATTTAGCTTTTTTCAGTTGCTTTGTTTGATCCAATTGAAATTGTAAGATCTGATTTTATTAAGTTGTTGTGTTTGTTTCAATTAAGTGTGCAAGTTCAAACAGAAACCCATTTATGGCGTCAGGGTGGCTACAGCAAGGATCTTATTCTAGAGGGTGACAGTGTCAGGTGAGTTCTTGTAATTTGGTGCTTCACAGAATTAAATATTCTCTGTAGGGTAAAATATATTGTTCATGGTTAAGTCAGTTGAGTTTTTGTTAGCTGTTATGGAAGTGGCTTTTAACCTTTGAAACAATGGAAATAATTTTATTTACATTTTAAATGAAAGTGCTAAATCTTAGATTAAATTTGAAAATAGCACTAAACAGAGAAGAAAAGAAAATTCTCTCTCAGATCTTTCATTGAGAAAAACTGAATGAGCCCATGAAGCTCCTTCACGTGTATGTGCACACACGTGATCTTTTATATAGATTTTTAACCTGGATTTATGTAATTTCATTTTATATTTTGTGGGAGCTTTCTTAGCTCATTTTTTATAGCTCCGTTTTATGTGTATATAAAGTTTATAGGTTGGTACTGTTTTTAAACTAAGCCAGTCAAGTGATTCTACTTTTCAGTCTAATTGATTTTAGAAGTAAGCCACTACTTACTGTTTGCTAATTAATGCTGGAAATAAACTCTTGTAACTACTTTTTTGATGCAAAAGATACATTTTTGCTTTAAGAAAATATATATTGAAACATTTTAACAACTAGGCATGCTCTGTAAAATGTTGGTGCATCCTTGTTTGACTTGATTTTTAAACTAGGCCACTCCATTTGTTCAAAGGCTACTTTTTGTCCACTTACAGAAATGGGCTGTGGATTTTACGAAGCTAGAGTCAGTCCCTACAGATTTTGATTCAAGCACTGTGTTTTTGTTATTTGCTTCAGGTGGCTGTAGAAGGCCCATTTTTTTTTTTTTTTTTTTGTTTCTTCCTTTTTTAAAAGATACCTTTACAATGGACCAGACTCCATTTGCAAACTACATAGGAAGGCTGAGTGTCTAGCTCTGGGCTTGAATCGAGTACCTAATTAGATGCTTACATGAAAGAAGTCTGAGTTACTCTTTGAATCTGGTGCTGGGCCTACTTTGTATTAGGTTGCACACAGATAATCTGACCTAGCTTTTTTTCTAGCATCTTTTTGTATGTTATTTTACAAAGCTGTTCTGTGCTACAGTATTGCTCATCCTGCTTGTGGTGTGCAGTCATGACTTAGTATGAATGCCAGCTCTTACTTGAATTGCTTAGAAAACAGGAAAAAATCTTCATGTTCATCAGTTATGTTATGGGCCTGATACACGTAGACTGAAGGTGGTGTGAAATATTGTAGGAAATTAATGTGACAGAACTTGATGCAAGATAATATCAAAGGGAAAGATAATATCCCAAATGTGTTTATTTTATAGAATTATTTGATGGTTTGGTCTGGAAGGAACCTTAAAGTTCATCTAGATCCAACCCTGTTGCCATGGGCAGGGACACCTTCCACTAGGCCAGGGTGCTGAAAGCCCTGTCCAACCTGGCCTTGAACCCTTCCAGGGAGGGGGAGCCACAGTTTCTCTGATTTGCTATATTGATTTTACTCACTCACACTCATTTTCTCATAGATTTTGTTCCCTCATATCCTCACAGCCACATACTCAGAAGCAATGAGATGTTTTCTGCAACACAGAGAGCTGGGGATGCTGCCTCATGAGTCCTCATCATGGCTTCTTGATTGGTGACAAGAAACTAGTTTCTCGACAAACTTTTTTATGTCCTTTAGGAGTGATCTTTTGCTATTCCTGTTGTGCTAATGGAGAGAGAAATGATATATGTGACATGCTGCAAAATTGTTGCCACCCTCCTGTTGCTAGTGTGTAAGTCTTCCATCAATGAGTTATTTGTACTGATGTTTAATCAGAGAGTGGCCATGTGGGCTGGACAAAAACAACAGGGTCCTCAGTTTGCCTGAGTGAAGGGAATTCTTTGCCATCAATAGGGGCCATTCTTTTAACTCTTGCTTTGCTGTTTTTTTCTGGTTCTTTCTCTTTCTGTGTTGCCAGTCACACTTCATTCACACCCATCTTAAATACTCTGTTACAGGTCTCTGCAGTACAGCTACGGTCCACGTGATCTCTATGGGGCATCCATAATATTTTTACCATAAATTATGCACATTTTTCTGGCTTTCATATTTATTACAATTTATGCATTTATTCTCTTTTAGATTACTTCAGATGTATAATGAGCTACAGAAACACTACATTAAAGAAATCAGAACAAACCAGGAGCAAAGTGAAGCAATTAAAAATCTCACTGTAAGTAGAATTTGTAGGAGATGGTATCAAATAGCCAAACAAGCTTTTAGGGAGACTGAAAAGTAATTCTTACATTTGTAAAATGAGACCATGTTTTTCTTTTTATGCTCATTTTTGCTTCCCATGCCATTGAGATAATAAAAGTAGTCTGTAGTTCCCTTTGAAAGTGAACTGTCACTGGTATGTCTGTAACTGAAAGCTGTGTCCCCTTTCCTTATTTTTTCTCTTTACTCGCCTACCTCCTACTCCTTCCAACTGTATGTGCATCTTCCAACCTCTCTTGCACCAGCCCTGATACTTTTCTGTATGTATCATGAGCTGATTTATTTCAGAAATCTGGCAGTAAGCTAATCAAATGAAGGCAAATAGTCTTCTGTCAGATAACAGGATCTATTGGCCTGCTGTACAAAGAGACTAGCATCATAACTGGAGCAAAGGTAGGGTTGCATGTCCAGGAGTGGTTCAAGAAGCTTCAAGCGGGCATTGATCAAGCGTTACAGCTGACCAGTCTAATTTCCTCTTAGGAGTCTGGAACATGTGCTTCATTTATTTGTAAATTTAATATTCATTATGATTTGGATTATATGTACTTTTTCTTAGAAGTTGGCAATTACTGCCATAAAAGTATACTTTATTGTGTGGAAAGGTTTAGTATCTTTATGGGTGTAAATTTTTACTGTCTTGCAAGTATATGCTTGGTAACAGATTTTTTGAAAACATTTTTGATATATGCAAAACTTTACATGCTCTATTTTTTTTCTCCTTTCAGACACTTTGGACAAATGTAGTTTTAAGTCAGCAACTGAAAGCTCTAGGTTTGCATTCAGGATACGTTTCCAGTTGTATTCAGTTAAAGTGTGTTTGTTCTATGCATTTTAAAATACTCAGTTTCTTGACAGATCAAAATTAATGAGCTAGAGCATAATCTTCAAGAACAGAGGAAAAGAATTGAGCAATTGGAATGTAAAAAGGTTTCTTGGAAAACTAGTGCTGTTTCTGGAAAAAGAAGTCAAACCCCAAAGGGAGAAGGAACATCTCGCAGGGACATGTCTAAAAAGGAATCCTATTGCAGTGAATACTTAGGTAATGGTATGGTTAATTCTGATGATGTTCCTTCTGTTATGCCCATCCCAGAGGATGCATTTCATTTCTGATCCAAAGACATACTCAAGGTTATTTCTTCTATTTCAACCAGCAGTAACTAAATGGTTTTAGTTTTTTAAAACCTGCTAGGTAAAAATGGCATCTTGCAATCTATGTCCTATCTGTGGATCCAGCCCTGCATTTACTTGTCATAAAAAGATGTGTTTGCTGTTTTTCTATTTTTCTGAAACTTGTATGTCAGTGTTATGATGGGTGGGAGTGCATTTCTGTATTTAGTACTATTTATTATTTATTCCAGTAAGATGTATCTGTGTAGCTCTCTTAGTGATGATATTTGCTGCTCCGTTCTTTGGTTTTCAGACAGTGATACACAAGAATCTGTTTTTAGCCTCAGTGTGGAACAAACCCAGACCATATTGGTTTGAGCAGTGTTCTTCCTCACATAAGTAAATCCATAAATTAAGGTGCAATCCTGTTCTACTTCAAAGCACAAAAAAAAAAGAGGTTGAAGAGATCATATAACATAGGCATAATTTTCAGGAAATGTGCTGTCAGTAAGGGTTAGTGTGACCCTCGTAAGTCAGAAGATGGTAATCAAGGTATCAGATGTACGTTTTGTGGATTTTAAAGTAAAATAATCCTACATTCTAGGAATCTGGCAGACTCAGATTATTTGATTGACAGATCCTGTTATCTTTCATAGTACCTGGGAATGTGCTGAGCTGATTCTTAAGAATAAATCACTTTATGAAAAAGGTACTTTAAAAAGCTGAACCATAATTTTCTAATATCTCAAAATGTAGGCAGCTCTTTAGCTGTGATATGATTCATATGAGGGGGAGGTTGACTGTAATGGTTGAAGTCTATATTTTTTTATTTGAATGTAGAGCTATTGTTGAAGGAGATTAAAAAGCTGAAGAAAGAAAATGAAAAGTTGTCTACAGAAAGGAGAGCACTAAAAAATGAATTAGCCGGATTAGACAAGGTAATTTATTTTAGGACAAGTTTAAGAATAGGTGATTTTTGAAAAGCTAACTTTTCTGCCCATACTGAAATTTATCCTTAGGCTGGGCATATGCTGTTATCAACAAAATACATAAAAAATTAATTTGTAGCATTCTGAGAAAGAAATGGAAATGAATGACTCCTTGAAACACTAATGTCCTACAGTACTGCTTGGCTAAGGAAGAGGAATAATGCAATATTTTTTTTTGTTTTGTTTTAAACAGCTGGGTTTCCTTGTGGATTTTTTGGTTTTAATGTTTGGGTGACTTGGTTTCCTTAATGAGAGATTATTTGTCTTGTGTATTTATGACATTAAAATTGTAATTGATGGTAACAGTCTTAATTCCTTCCAACATACATTTGCAGAGATAGTAAAAATATTTTTTTGAATGTTCACTTCTATTGCTTCATGATGTCAGTGAGAGGAAAATCATTTTCTCTTGAATTTAAGCACATCAAAGTTATGCCTCTGACAGAACTCTAAGCTTTGTGAGGGCAGAGGGGAGGGGTTTGGAGTTTTTGTGATAGATTGTCCATACAGATATAGAAAGAGAAAGTGTGAAAATTTGGGAATTTTTTTTTTTTTAAATCTGTTTTCTTATCTTGCAATCCCCTCTCACAAGTTAAATAACACTTATGTTAGCTTTCATTACAGTGGTAACAGTAAAACATGGTGATAGTTCATTAGATGTGAATCTTGTAGAACATTGAAGCAGGGTGAGTCCTAGGCTCCCTTGTTTGGGAGGTAGGGACAACTTGTGACTGAAAGTTTCATCTTTCAGAAGAGAATTATATAAATCTTGAGGTTATGGCCTTTTATCCATGACTTTTTTAGGTAGTTTTAAGTCATTGTTATTTAAGATGTATGTAGCTGTTCATTTAACAAAAAAAAAACAAAAACAAAACAAAACAGAGAATTCAGAAGAATAGGCAGGAGAGATGTCAAATATAGATGGGTGTAAGTAGATACAGTGTTTCTCAGGTAGATGGGACTTCAAAGGTTGAAATTAAGTCTTGGGTGATTATACTCTACTTATTCCTCCTTGTATTTTTCAACAGCTCGTGATTTACAAAGGGTCAGAATTGCTTAATAGACTTGAGTTGCAGGATCTGAACAAAATATTTAAGTTATGGGCCATCGATATTTTTAATAAATGGAGTTTATTTCTGCAAAGCTGAATTTATCTCCTAGTTGAATTGGGTGTAGCTAGAACTAGTTGTTAAGTTATGCATTCTGGGCTAGTATAATTATGGAAGGATCAATCTGAGAAAGTGAGAGCCTTTTTCCATCTTAAACTCTTTAATATTGTCTTGTTGAAATGCTAACATCATGCTTCTTGGTTCACTCTTCTCATCTCTCTCCTTGCCTTGTCCCTTTTATATAATTGTGCAGCTTTCAGATCTTCAAAGTTAACAGTGTGTTATCTCCTGGCTGACTTCAGCACGTATAGCTATATTTTTGTGCAGGTGACATTGACATTATTCCCTTGTCATTTTGGACTGTCATTATGTAGCTTTCTAATAAATCTTGATTTTTTTTTTCCTTCTCTTAATTCATCTTTCCTATTAATAGCATGTATTTCAGACTCTACCATAACTTGCTTGAATTCTGCTTGCATTATGTGTTCAGGGCAAAGTTTTAAACTATTACATAAGGTTATAGTTAATTGCTGTAGCTGTGTCTGCATAACTTAGCCATATATTAATAAAAATATAGAAGGTGTCTTTGAACTTGGGAACAACTGAAATGCTGACTAGCTCTTATTGAGAATGTTTTTGAAAGAAACTTTAAGGTGAATATTTTTGGGTTTTTCTAGGATTTTTTTGAAGAGATAGAAGATCTAAAGCGTGCTGTGCAGGAATCTGTGAAACTGAATAATCAGTATGAAAAATGCTTAAAACAAATAAGTGTAATGTATGGCCTTCCTTTTACAGTACATTTGTAACTACTGATTAATTTAATGGCAAGTAGATTTTCCACATATTTTTTATACTGACTGTAACTTTTAAACATACCGTGGCTTATGTAGTACCACATTTTGATAATATTATGGGTTCATTAACATGATCTCAATATGTCAGTCTGCTCTGAAATGTTTTTGTATTTTGTGCCTTTGAGTTTTGTTTGTATAGTTTTAAAATAAACTGTAGTCTGTATAACTTCAACTAAGTTTCAAAACCTCTCTCTTTCACACTTGTAAAATATTTTCATTGCAGGAGTGGTTGTGGGTGTTTATGGGACAATGATAAAATTTTTGTATTTTAATTTGAAGAATTTCCTAGCTTATCCTTTTCTGTAAACTGTATAAAATCAAAGGAGATCTGTAGGTTTGACAGTCTTTATGAAGTTTGGCCCTAAGGATGTGCCAATGCAGACAGAAATTAATTCCATCATTAAATTACTGCAAAGGGATTTCTTAAAAATAAAATGCTAAATCCCTGCTTGGAGTTTTTCTTTAATCACAGTAATAAAATTTGTGGATAAAGGAAGGATTTAGGGTTTAGAATTGAAAGAGTGTGTTCAGAAGGGTGGGTTAGAGCACTGTCTTGCAGTATCAAACCAAGACTTCATCAGAAGCTCTTCTGTGATTGAAAAGTGAGGTATTTTAAGATCTCTGGTATTTGGAGTGATGGAAGGAAATGAGTGCAGAGAGTCACAGTTCATAAGATAGAAATGTCACGTTGCTTCAGCGAGAGTGAGCTTGGAATGGTGAGAGACAGCTCCCAGCTGCAAGTGTACCTTGCAGAGGGGACACCTCTGAGATTTGGACCCAAACTTGCTTGTAACTACATTTCACGGATGTTTAACATAGTTACATTATAGAATTATCTTTGTCTGAAAGTTGTAAATCTACCTTTGTGATACTGTGATGGGAGAACTGAGTGAAAATTTTATCACGAGGTTAGAAATACTAAGCTTGCTTATAGCCTAATACAGCTTCCTTAGCTTAATAAAAATACTTGCATGCTCATTAGGCAGAGGACTAGGAGGAGAATTAGGACTCTTGTATCCCACTTTGTTTGTTAGGACAGTTTTATGTAGTAATAAATGAATAAATAAAATGGTCTCAAAGCATATGAGGTGCTTGGTGTTACATATTCACTAGGTAAGAGAGAGAGTCCAGAACTACTTGCTTCCTGGTCTGGCTTATAGACCATTGTGTCAGGTTTCCCTTGTTTCATTCTTGCTCATTGGTAAATTAAAGCTGGATAATGTTCTGAACAGAGGTGGAAGAGGGAGAGAGGAGTGATTCAAGTCTGTTGCTAGTAACTTGACAGATAAAACCAGGAAGAATAGTGTGTATGACGGAAGTATTCTTAAGTGCAAAGATGTATCTAATATTTGTTAGTAAGCAAAATAAACATGAGTGCTAGAGAAAGAAAGCAACAAACTCTTTTTTTTTTTTTTTTTTTTTTTTTTTTTTTTTTTTTGAGTGCTAGTCACTTAGGCATTTTTTTGTCCCCACAGTTTTGTGGTATAAAGTTATACTTCTACCCTGTTTAAATTTTGGTGACATTAAATCAATCAGTAATTGTCTTTGTCCACAGTCTGATTTTTAAATGTTGTACAGAATGGGTCTTAAAACACGTAGATGAGGAGGTTTGAGGTTATTTCTGCCCTGCCTGAAGAAATGTATACATCAAATGAATACAAAATTGTCAGGACTAGCAGAATTTTGCTGTTTGCCAGCTACTGAAGATCAGGGTTTTCCATTATAGAGTATGTTCTCCGCCCAAACAGTTGAAAATAATTAATATGGTGAAAATATTGGTCTCACCTTTATGATGACCTTTAAAAACTTTTGAAAATCAGTTTTGCTTCAGGCCGCTCCTGTATATTTATACCAAGAGACAGTGAGAATTCTTGCAGTCTTTTCTCATGACTGAGATCCTCAGGCTCTAGTAAGAAACCAGATTCTAGTCTAATCTTAATCAGCCGTGCAAGGACGGGTAGTAGCAACGTATTGTACAGCGACCTGCTGAACCACAGCTCCATCTTGCAGTGTGTGTGCAGTCTGACAGCCTTATTTCTGACCTTGCCATCACGTGGGGGAGGATGTGGGTCTCCAGGCCTCGGGTTACCCGTATGTGAGGCTCAGATTGCTACTGCACGTGCTCGGTTTCCAGTTAAACCGCTTTTACTTTGCGTGGAGGTGTGTGGCCACAGTCCTGAGCAAACAGCTCAGCTGGGATGTGAGCAGCCGGGGGCTGGCAGGTGGCAGAGCGAGGTAGGCAGGGGTTTCTGTCAGCCCATAGTAGGAGCTGTCTTTGAGATCATTCTGCATCGTTGACTGGCTTTCTGTGATTTTTTTTTTTTTTTTTCTTATTTCCCTCCCCCCGCCTTTTTTCTTTCACTATCAGGAAAGATAGAAATGTAAGGTGCAGATGGGAGACAGCTGGCATCTTCCACATCTGCGGCACAACTCCCAAAATAGTAACTGCCACCAGCACAAATGCTGGAACAGGGACTGTGTGTAGAAATGACTGGCTCTGTGGTTTTGATTGTGTCAGTTGCCACTTGTGACTTGAAAATGGCGGTTTTGCCTTGAAGATATTTTTCTTTTCTACTAATTGCATATTGTAGGGTGTTTTTTGCATTTGATGCGATCATTTTACTTCTGAAGATCTGATTTCTGCCCTCCTTGCTGGTCTATAACATTGGCTTTTTGTTGCAGCTCTGTAGCTGTTTGGACAGCTTCTGAAGAAATTAGATGTGTGAGAAATAATGTAATGAAAAGCTTCTAGAGACTGTGTAGGTATCGATAGCAAAATGACAAGTTTTATTTGTTTCAAGCTGTATGTATGGGTTTTTTTTTTATTTATTTATTTTAACATGCCTAATGCTAGTTAAACAACTTACTGGCATTTTTTTGTCAAATTAGTAGTTTTTTTGTTGGAAGAAGAGACTGCTTAGGACTACCAGGGTCTACTTCCAATTTCTGGGGTAGGGACAGTTTGTGCAGGATAAGGCCATATGAATTTGAGTATTTAGTTAAGAATTTACCTGTCTTTTGTCCTTGTTGCTGTGTCTGTTGAACAGACATTTCTGCTTTTATCTTGCCTTGTTGTGAGACATACAAACAAGATCTTGTTGATTTGTTTTATTGCTAGTTAAAGTGCAGTTGAGATTAATATTAAACAAGTTAATCAGCCTTTATGTGTAGTTCCTCCATATTGTGAAATTGTGACGTCTGGCCAGTGGCTTTCTCCTGCTAAACTAAGTTTAGATAGAACTGAATTGCATGCAATTAAGTATTAGTCATGCTAATGCTAAATAATGCATATTAGAAACATTACATGATGCAGACTAATGGTTCTTTGTCTTGAGTAAGTACTTTGTAGTGGTGATGTGGGAACCTCATGTTTGAAAATAAGTGGCTGCTATCAAATAGAGGTTTTGGTTGGAAAAATAAGACAATCATATGTCAGTTTTTTATTTCCGTGAGACATCAATGACATGGGCTAGGGCATAGGACAGTAAAGCAATTTAAGTTTTGCTCCGTGTTCTGCATGTAACTGTGACCAGGATTTTAGAAAAGATCCACTAATTTTGTGTGGTTCTGTAATTTTGTCCTAGTGTTCCTAATATTTAAGGTCTAAATATTCAAAGGTACTGAGTATTCACAGTTCTAACCAGATTGAGTCAATTTAAATGAACGTTGGCTGCTAATATCTCTCTGAGCACAGTGTTCAGGAATTGCTAACTTCCTGGATATTAGTTCTATATTAGCATTTTTCTGTTGTAGAAAGCAAAATTGCAATCCCATTCTTGGGTGGGGGACAAGACTTTGTGGATTTCTCTAGAATTTTGTTCATGAGCATGTGAAGTAACACCTTCATAGCTCTGCTGGAGTCCCTTTCACTGTGACCATGCTACACTGTTTACCATTAAAAAGTGGGCCTTTCAGACCTGCAGTACTCTTTAGACTGAAACCCTGAGAGGTTGCGTACGGAACATGAGTGATTTTACTTGAAAGTAAGGGCTAATGTCTCTATCCTGTCAGGTGGGATGCTTGTTTCTTGTGGGCACTTCACTGGAAAAGTGTTTCTGCCAAGGACTGTAGAAGAAACAACTGTGAAAGTGTGGGAGTTTCCTCCTTACACCAGGAATAACGAGTTTCTGCTAAATGCCTGTAAACAAGTGAAACATTCAATAAGCCTTGTTACAATTCTGGTTTAGCAGAGTGAAGACGCTTGTTTTGGATTAGTCTTTGAAATGACAGAAAATAATATTGTGGTTTCAAAAGGGGTAAGTTCCCTGTTTGGGTTACTAACTGTCCAAGGTGGAAGAAATCAGTAAATACAGTAATTTTACCAATTTAGGCTCGTTTTCCCCACATTTGTCTTCAGCTGCAGTGCAGTTTCTGTTTCCAAGGCTTAGATGTTTCTTGTTTTCCTTGTTAGAAATAAAACAGTGTTAGTTAACTAGTCATGTATCTGTGCCTGTGTTCCTGGAGAGCTCCAGTGGACTTATTCTGGGATAGTAAATTGCTTTTGGTTCTTGGAGGTTATTACAACGAGGTGTGTTAAAGGTGGTAAGTGCATTGATTTGGCGTAGTCATGTTATGTGACTTGTGCTAGAAAGTGGTTGCATGTGCCATTGCAGCAGTGGGGATGATGTCGATCCTAATGGATTTAGTTTTTTGCTGCAGTTCAAGTTAAGCTCTGTATTTACCTACCTTTGACCCCTACTCACAGTGTTTTCACTGTATAGTTTTTTAAAAAAAGCATCATGCACCAAGATCTTGGCTGGCTTTAAACTGGTTGCCTTGGTGCTGGTAGGAGAGAGTGCAGTTCTGTGCTCAGCCGCATGACTGTCTACCTGAAGATGACCAACTTTGCTTTTTAGGTCATTACATATTTCCAAATCTTTCAGGGTGACAAGAAGCTAACACTGTAGGCCTTACACGGTAGCTTTTCACAGGGAATGCTGTCTTAATGAATATTTTTATTTTGTATTTTCTCCACAGGGATTTTGTACTGATATGAAGACCAATGTGATCTTTTGACTCGCCCTTGCTGTTTTTATCTGAGTGAGCCATTGGGAAAGAGTCTTATGCTGGTACTGCAATGCTGAGTTCTGGCTTGACCACTGTGAAGAATGTTCCTTTGAAGAAGAGGCTTGGTTTCCTGCTGAAGCTTGTGTGCTTTGTCAGCTCAGTGTTAATCTTTTGTGAATTTTTAATTTATTATGTGGTAATTTTTCAATGTCGATGGCCAGAAGTGAAAGGCAGAGCTCACGTGGGTAAAAAAGAGACTTCAGCTTCAGTCCTAAAGGCCATAATTTTAGCTGATACTCACCTACTTGGTGAAATCAGAGGACATTGGCTGGATAAGCTAAGAAGGTAATAATTAATTTTTTGAAGAATATCTATCCCAGTCTTGGTTTTTGGTAGTAGCTAATGCGACAGATGTTTAAAACTAATGTGATACTTGTAAGAAGCGTGCACGCTGCCTCTGGCTTGCCTGTCTGGTTCTGTGCTGGATAATAAATCAGTGTTGAGAGGTTAATGAATGGGACTTACTGAGGCAGTGTGGTCTTGAATGTTCAGGTAGTACTTGGGTGTAGATGCCTGAGCATTTCTGTTGAGTTAGATAGTCTTTTCTGGTATGTAACTATTTTGTAGAATGCCTTAAAAATGAGCACGGTAACTTGGACATCCCAGTAGTTAATGCCGTTAATTGCGGAGATAAGGAAGCTGGTAGAAGTTTGTCTGTGTAGTAGTAGAATTGGAGGCAAAATCACATCTAAAACCAAAGGCAATCCAAACCTATGCCTACAAAACCATGTTTCTGTTAGTCCAGAAAGAAAAGGTGGTATGCTGAAAGAAAGTACTACTACTACCATGACATGAACATTATAAACTTTTGCTACAGAAACAATAGCGTAGTAAAACATGTGCAACAATTCACTGTTCTAATTAATTGCTGATTAGTGGAATTGTAATGAAAAATAAACAAAGTGGCTATTACTTCTTGCATGAGTTGGCCCTGACTGTATTGTGGTGGAATTACCTACCAGGTAAGATGCACCTACTGTACCTAAAACCTGATTTCTAAGTATTTGGGTTTCATGTTAGCCCTTTCAGTGTGTAGGAGCCATCTTCCTGTTCCTGTCAGGCTGTGTGTGTGTATTCAGAGTTGAGGAAGTCCAGAAGTCAGGCAGTGATGACTGGGACTGTATTTTCCTTTCAGGGAATGGCAAATGGAGAGATCTTTCCAAACTGCTGTATGGTTACTGCAGCCAGACATTGTTTTCATTCTGGGAGATGTCTTTGATGAAGGAAAGTGGAGCTCACCTCAGGTATGACATCAACAGCTCTCTTATTTAAAAAAAATTAGGATTTCTTGAAGGAAACGGAGGACAGAAGAAAGCAGACTAGGTATGCAAGGCTTTGTTTAATGTTACTATAGTTGCCCTACTAGTAGAAATTTCTAGTGTTTTAGATATGAGTTGAAATGTAGTGATTCCCCTTCATTTTTGGTAGTATTTGGACACTTTTGCTCCTCATACAAAACTTACAAAATATAAAGATCTCAGTGTGTGCTTCTATATTATACACTTGTGGTGGGTTGACCCTGGCTGGATGTCAGGTGCCCACCAAAGCCACTCTGTCACTCCCCTCCTCAGCTGAACAGGGGAGAGAAAATTTAGCAAAAGGCTTGTGGGTTGCAGTGCGTTTTGCCCGTGACGGTGAGTGAGGACAGTGAGAGATCACTCACTGTCATGGGCCAAATAGATTTCAGCTCAGGGAAACTGGTTTAATTTATTACCCATCAAATCATAGTAGGATAATGAGAAAATAAAACCTGAATCTTAAAACACCTTCCCCGACCCTTCCCTTCTTCCCAGGCTCAACTTCACTCCTGATTCTTCTACCTCCTCCCTGCCCGTGGCGCAGGGGGATGGGGAATGGGGGTTGTGGTCAGTTCATCACCTGTTGTCTCTGCTGCCCCTTCTTCCTCAAGGGGAGGACTCTTCACACTCCTGCCCTGCTCCACTGTGGGGTCCCTCCCATGGGACTCAGTCCTCCATGAACTTCTCCAATGTGAGTCCTTTGGTCCCCTTTGGTACTGTCAAACGGCATTAATTTTGCCATTTGTCTTTTCGTGCAGGCCTGGGCAGATGATGTCAGGAGATTTCGGAAAATGTTTAAGTATCCTGCTTCTACTGAGCTGGTGGTTATCGTTGGGAATCATGACATTGGATTTCATTATGAGTAAGTCTTGTCAGTGAAAGGAGTACGCAGGTGCCAAGAATGAAGTGTCAGCATGCATACAGTAACTGGTTTTGTGTCTGGGTGACCTCTTGTGTGGTTACGTAGAAAGTTTTTGATCATAACCAAATCAGAAGGGATTGCAATTGAATGCACCCTAGGAATAAATTTTAGAACAGGTTTCAGGCTACTTTTATGCTTCTCTGAGCATATGTGAAGCTGTTCAGAGCTGGTCTTTCTGCATTCACAGAGAAGCCTTGAAGCTGCTTTTACTTGTGTTGGCCCTCCTTGTCTGAAAGTTGTTTAATCTGAGAGTATTCCCTTTCCTGTTAAATCAGCATAGAAGTGTGGAAGTGCCCTGGCTGTGCTTACACTGGTGGGACTGGGACAGAGTACACGATGGGTGTCAGAGCATCCCTGTGACTTTGCTGAATGAATGTGATGTAGGTAATGGAGCAGCAAACTGCATGAATGGTCTGCAAACTGTCAAACTGCTGCACCTGATGATTTACTATGCCAGTTTCTTACCTCAGTTGTATTTTTGCTCGATGATACAGAATGACTACTTACAAGGTAAATCGATTTGAAAAGGATTTCAACTTTACTTCAGGAAAGTTAATAACTCGAAAAGGAATAAAGTGAGTATATATTTTTTTTTTTTTTTTTTTCAGTGTTTAGTGTAGTGATTACTGAGCTAGCAGACCAGAGTGGTGAAAACTGAGAACTGGAAGTGAAATTTCTAATGAATGGTAGTATGGGAATGTTTAACTTAAAGCCTTGTTTGTTGTTTGTGGGTTTTTGTGTGTTTTTTTTTTTTTTTTTTTTTTAATTTGTATCTAGTTTATGATTATGTTAAACACAAACTGCTTTGTACAACCCTGTAGTTTGATATGAAGTGGAAGCTGTACTTTGAGCTAGGTACATTGAAACAATGTTTCCTTTTAAATGGAAAAGTACTGTGGAGTCAGAATGAAGTTTTCTGGTTTGCCTTTTTACTTCCTTGCAGCTGGTAATGACCCATGGCTGCAAACATAACAGAAGAATGGGATTCAGTAAATAAACACAAACAAACCCCCTCTGTGCTTACAAGCTAAGAGTTTCATTAATTTTAATAACTTCTTTAGTCTGCAGAACTTAACTCTTGTTTGAGGAATTTGGGAACCTAGTAGTTGCTTGTCCACGGCTTTTCCACAGGGTGGGGTAATAATGCACATGCTGGTTTGGGCTTAGAGTAGACCTTGTTGCAGAGCTTGTTCTCATAGTTGTGTGGCTGTGGCTGCAGGTGTCTGCAGTGGGCCCTTTTTTTTTTTTTTTTATTACTTTTATATACCATGCAGGAACCTGATGAGGGAAAGCAGTAGTGTGTCTGTGGAAAGGCATTCAGTTGTCTTTAAACCTCAGATACATGAAGGGGAGGCCCATTGCCACTCTGCATTTGGCATGTATGCCATCACGTCATAATCACTGATGTAGGATTCAAACTCCACAGGCTTACACTGGTTTCCTTCATTAAGCAAAAGTTAAAAATATTCTGAACGGGTCTAGAAACGGTGTGGGTTTTTTAGGAAGATTTATGAGCTTCATGAATGCTCAGTATAATGCTGTTGTTTATCATGCAGATGTGGGATCCTCTAGATATGTTTTCAGCTGTTTTAAAAAATAGTTATTAAGGAACATCTCCATGTCCCCTTTGGTAAAACAGCGCAGCAGAATTCTTACATGCAGTTGCAGATTGTGTGTCTGGTATCATATTTGTTAAGTGAAATGAGCCGTGTTATTGATGCAACGTTCCTAGATAACTATTTTACAACAAATCTGTGGTATAAAAACCAGTTTAATTTGCTAAAAGAAAATTAAATTTTGTTTTTGGTTTTGACCAGTATTTCTTAAATGGAGGCATTCAGCTCATTTTTGTCTGTAAAACATACTGAACTGAGCTGGCAATATATCTCTCAAGTCCTGAATGTGAGTGACCAGACAGGTATGAATCTTGTGGCAGAAGTTCAAAGCTGATTTGAAATCTACAGGGAACACCTCCTATTACAATTAAAATCCTATTTTCTGTGTGAGATACTGCCAAGTATGAAACTAAGTTTGCTCAGGATAGCCAACAAAATGCAGTGCTGTTTTGCTTTTCATTAGTTCTGAAGAAATGGAATGTCTGAAATGATGTTTCTGACGTCTAAAATATGAGCGGGGAAAGAAGCAAGTTCTCCTTTCCCTCAGAATTCAGCCTGAGCTTCTAACATTCCACTAGAATACCACTTAAGTAACTGTTACATGTGTAATCTAATTAACAACTGATTACAAAGCAGCCTGCCAGGTAGAGAAATGGCTGCAGTATGGATACTCAAGAGGATTTACAGCACCTGATTTTAGAAACTGTTACGTTCTGCTGCTTTGTTGTAAGCGTTCCAAAATTGGACACAGCTCATTTTATAAACTGAAGTTTCTATCTCACCCGTGTGCACGGACAGCAAATGTTTTCCTGTCCTGTTTACCTCCCTTTTCTTTGCCTACTCCCTGGTATTTCCCAGCTTTGTCCTAGTGAACAGCGTAGCCATGGAGGGCGATGGCTGTGCTGTCTGCCACACCTCGGAGGCAAAGCTTGTGGCACTTTCTCACAAACTGAATTGCTCCCAGCAGGTAAGAGTGTATGAAAGGTCTGATTATAGCCAGCAGCTCAGCTGCTGCACTGGGAATACTGATACTGCAGCAGTAGTCAGGATATAACTAATACTCTTCTGAAAAAAATCTGCTTCCAATTCATACTGCAACTGGTTAGCAAATCTTTCTTCTCCTCGCTTGCCTCTTATTATTTTTAATTAACTATTAACTGTGCTGATTTGCGTTAATTAACTTCCTTGTCGGTGCTGCCAACAGAGGGTGTAATTTCCTCTGTTCCAAGGAATGGCAGAAGTTCTGTAACCTTCCTTTTGATTTAAGATGTATAATAATCCCTGCATTTATATTTGTGCGTACTGCTCTGGTTTAGATCCTTCAAGCTAGCCTATTCGTTTAGTTTTCTGATTCTACCGCAGTCCTGTCTTGATAGCTTAGTAATGTTTTAATTGTATTTTTTTCATCAAATCCAATTGCTGCTTGTATTTCATTCCTCTTCCCTTGTCACAGGCCGAATGGGTGCACGGTAGGCAGCACGACTGACTGGGCTGGCAGTCAATCAGGAAACCAGCTCCCAGTGGAAAAATTGCCAGGCTCTAGCTGCCGTCCCTCTTGGGCTGCCCTAAATCTCTTCTGCCTTGTTTGTGCAGCGAGATGCTGCTGTTGCTTTCTGCATTCAGAGTGCAACCATTTTTATAGCGTATACAGAAAGCAGAAGCATTTCCCCTTCCACCCACTGTAGAAGCTCTTAAAAGTTTATGCAGCAGACAGTAAACACTGTATTCTGAGCCAATACTGCTTTTCACAAAAAAAAAACCAAAACCCCCCAAAACCAACAAAAGAACAAACAACTCCCAACCCCTCAAAACCTAGCTATTGTTTACTTCCCTTCCCCACCCCTATTGCGGTGACAATATGTATGGGTTAGTTTTATTCACAGAAACCAAATCATTCCAACAAAAGGTGCAGTGATGTGGAAAAGCTCCCAGCTTCAGAACCCATCCTTTTACAGGTGTGTTGGCAATGGGGTGAGGCAACATGTTGACATGTTTTTAGTGTATGTATTGCTGTTCCAGAAAGGCTGGATCGTTAACAACTGATCCTTGCTTTGAATTTCTTCCAGCATTACCCTCTCTATCGAGAAAGTGACGCTGAATGCAGCGGAGAAGATTCTGCTCCTCCCCAGGAGAAGAACATCCCATTCAAAGAAAAGTATGATGTACTGTCTCAAGCAGCATCACAGAAGGTTTGATATATTAGGAGCTTGAGTATCGGTGGGTGGGTGGGAGGGGGACTTGGGTGTAGGTACATATACCGGCTAAAAAATTTTGGAAAGGATGTTAGCTGAGCTGAACAGACCACAGCTGCTCCTGCTTTCATGAGGCCTTTGAGAGGCTGCTTGTTCGAGCTGCTCCCCTGAGGATCATCATGATCACTGCCTTGCTTCTCCTGGGTTTCCCAGGTACAGGCCACCAGTCCTGGCACTCGGAAGTCTGCTGCGGTGCCGTTCCCTCCAGTTCAGCATTTTGTACTTTATGTATGGTGTAGATTATTGACAAACCTAGTAGAAAACCACTGTTTTCCAGCACATCGAAAGCACTGCTTTTGCTGAACTAGTAACTACAAGAAAATGTAAAGTCAGAGTATTCCCTAAAAATCTAATGGTCAGGGTTTGTATCCTTCTGTGTAAATGCCTTCACTCAGCTTAGCAGTGCCAGGTTCTCCCTTAGACAAGAAAAGAGCATTGGTTTACAAACATGCAGGTTTTCCGATTTGTGATGTCAACAGCATGCTGCTGCTTTTGTTTTTCTGATCCATATGGCCAAAAAAAAAAGTCCAGTATTTGGGATGAGGGCCAACTGGGTATGATTAATATTACAGTATCAATATGTCTTATCGGAAAACATAAATTTACACAAAACACTTTGTAAGGACACTAAAATTGCCTTAATTTCATTCTGTTAGAAGAAAAGGAAAAAAGGGCTTAAGCTCAATTTCTATTTCGTTATGACTCAATTTTTGAGCTTTACCATTTTGCCTTGTAGCTGATATGGTGGTTTCATCCCCGTTTGATTCTCACTGGGCATACACATAGTGCTTGTGAAGTGCTGCACGCGGGGAAAATTCCAGAGGTCAGCGTCCCGTCGTTCAGTTGGAGGAATAGAAACAATCCTAGTTTCATCATGGTAAGTTTTAATTTTTTTTATTTTTGTCAGATAACTTTCATAAATAAATCAACATGGCAGTCAGCTATATTTTAAAACTGATTCTACCTGTAAAAACGAAAAAAATAAAAAAATTGCCTACCCACCCAACCCACTCAGTACACTGCATCCACTTTATAAAGCACATCTGTGGGAGCCACATGTTCTGTGTGGTACAAAGCAATGTTGTTCAAGATCTAATTAGTATCTGGGTACAAGCATCTAACATTTTCTTATAAAGAGGGTGCACTGTAAACTATTGACTTGTAAAAATAATCAGTATTGTGCACTGAACAGTAGAAAGACTAGTTTGGCTTGGTTGATTTACCAGCTACGAAAACAAGACCGTCTCCACCTCAAGCTCTTGCGTGGTGACCACGGTTTTCAGACCGGTGCATTAACCGCTTCACACAGTGAAAATGTTTGTCACGTGCCAATCGTCTGCCTCCTCGCTTCCCGTTCACGATTTATGCAGTGTGTTGGTTACGCTTTTGCAGGCAGTTCCAGTGCTCAGTATATCCTTAGAGGTAAATCAATTACCTCCTCAGTTCGAAAATAAAACAGAATTCCTAGAAACTTGGAGTAAGAAGCAAAACCTACAATCTGTTTACAGAGTAGTCTGTGACTGGAGGGGGGAATCTTTCACATATTTTTTACTGCTGTCGCATTTGGGCAGCTTAATACACAGATAACCCCAAACTTTAAAAGTAATTTTAAGCAACCGTTAATATTTCTTCTTGAAAGTAGTTCTGTTTGTTCCATATTCCTGAGAGTAGCTGCCTTCAAACTACACATGTTCTCTGCACACGCCAGACAGTGCATCTTCACTGCAAAACAAGAGGTTGGCTAATTAAAGTTGCCTTGTCTTCACTACTGTTTTAACTCGGCCGCGGTCTGTTGCAAACTTTAATTGGAACTGCAAAGTCAAGCCAAAACCCAATGAAGTTCTTGGTTGTTGAAGTTCGTGTTTGTAATTTGGATTAGCCAACGTGTTTTTTGCAGCATGTACTGGGTAGGAGGAGGACCTGGGGGGAGGAAGGGGCACATTCACAAAACCTAGCTTTAGCCTGGGAAGGCTCCTTCCGGATGGGTTTAGAGCAGCTAAAGTCAGGCTTCCCTTGAAGGCAGATCAGATGAGGAGCCCAGCTCTCTATCTACACTAGATGGAACAGAGGGAGGATTGACCTCTGGGCTAATGTTGGCCTGGTGACTATTCCCGTCAGTGCCCAGCACCGCAAGGTACGGACTCTTCAGCCCCCTGGAGAAGGCACTGGTGCTAGGAAACGGGCCCCAACCCTTGCCACCCAACACTGAATTCAGAACTCGGCGATCTGACCGTCGTGGTGTTTACTCCTGATTCAGAACCCACTGTAACCGCCACGTGACCGTCTTCGTTTCTTTTGCAGGGCAGCATAACACCAACTGACTTCTCCCTCCAAAAATGCTTCCTTCCGTATGAGAGCAGAGTCTTTACTATATACTGTGCAGCAGGTGCTCTGCTTGTCATCCTGATACTAGCTCATTTTCAGCTTCTCACTCCGCCATTTTATTTTGCTCAGCGTTTAATCAGTAAGCATAAAGCAGTATGAAGAGCCAGACATCTGCATTCAGTCACTGAAATACCAAAGCTGAGAACAGTCAAACATCAGACTATATTCATGCCAGCAAATGACCTAATTTGATTGCTAGTCTGAAGGCAGGTTGCATTTACACATACCATAGAAGTCCTATACAGCTGATATGACTACTACAGGATAAATAATTAACTGAAATGAACGTCTCATGCTGTACAAAAATACTGTATTCTACAATCAAATGAGTCCTTTTCCTGCTATAATTTTTGTATCAAATATGTATATTAAAAGTGTAACTGTACAGTATGTAAATCCTATAGCCTCATCGCTTATCTGCACTAGTGTCTTACCCTGGTGGAGGCTCAGTCCTGCAAACTGGAAACCTTTCTCTGTTTTATTGCTGCATGGCCCTTCTAATGTCATACTTCAGTTTGTTAGGGTCAGGCAGAAACTAGATACATCAGCACTGAGAGATGCGGATTTCTGGAACCTTTTTAGGACATCGTGTGTAAGGGACTGTGGTTTGGGACAGGAAACCTCCCGGTTCCTGACATGTTAGATTGTTAGCTGACTACAGCTGCAGTTCTACCAGACAACAATGGGAAGAAGCTTGTGGATCCAGTTTGCCCATACACACTTGAAACCTGCTTAAAAAAAAAAAAATCAGGGTGACACCTCAAGCTGCTATTTTTAACAGGATGTGCTATGATGAGCTTAAAAAAAGAGGGCCCTAGTGCATCCCAGAGGTCGGTGTGGTGAGGGGCCCTCCAGTTGCCGATCTTCTGCGAGAAGGAAGGTCAAGTACAGCTGCAGTAACATTATCCTACGCCTCGGCCCTCAGTCTAGGGCCAGGAGGGGCCAGGAATGCGCCTCGCTTTAGATTCCTGAAGGGCTGCTGAGCTCTCTGAACCCTACTGCAGAGCCCCACTCGGACCTGCACCCCCGGGGTGGGGAGGGGGGCGGCGCGGAGCTGGGCCGGGGCCCCCCGGGGCCGCAGCGCCCGCCCGGCGCCTCGGCGCGCTGCGTACCAGGGAGGGCCCGGCAGACCTGGGGCTGCTCCCCACCCGCCCCCGAAAATGCGGGGGGGGCCGTTTCACACCAGGGCTGGTTTTCCTGCAGGGGCTGGGAGCTCTAACCTGAACTTCTTTTTAAAGAAAAGGCCGTCTTCTGTTATTCACTCTACTGCTTGCTTCGGCGTGGGATGTGAGAGAATCTTTGCATTTGGGAATTCTGTTTATTAGTAGCTTATTCCACCCAGCCTTTCACTTTCTGGGAAAGATCTGGTGACTGACTGAACATACAGGTATCAAAGTACATGCACTTCTGGGAAGAAGAAAGGGTCGTATTACCGTATCCAAAATGGGCTTGTTTATCATCAAATAGAAGCAAGTTTTCAATTTGCCTGTAGTCTGAATTTCGAAAGACGACTGCTTGGGGTTTATAACTAACACTGATGCTTACAGTAAAGGGTTACTCACCCCTGCTGATCTATATGCCAATGTGGGGAAGGTGTTAGCTCTTTATCTCTCCCTAAATTTAAAATGAAGTGGTGGGGAACGGTCCAAAGTGTGGTAAAACACTACAAAGTAATGTAGTCTAACGCTTCTCTAGGTTTCTGTTATTGCAACTGTAATTTTAGACATTTGTACAGGTTATCTTGGACACAGGAAAAGTATATAGTCACAGACATAAAACACCTATGTATAAAATATAAAGCAGTGTTATAGTTACTAAAAAGGACATGCCTTATTGCTACAGCAATTCTTGCTTCTTATATATTGTACTGTACCACAACTTGTTTTGAGAATGTCATTTGCATAAATTATTCAAGTTTGAGAAATATTCACACATTTTGATTCTACAATAGTTAAAATAAAACAATTTTCTAATGTGTCTCTTTATTAAAAGAGAAATAAAAATGTCATCTTGTAATTCTCTTAGGCCAGACACAAGGGTTTATACACCTTTTTTTTTTTTTTTTTTTTTTTCTTCTTTCTTGCTATTTACTTGCACAATGAAAGCCGCTGTTGGTACAAAGATTGAAGAGCTCTATAATGGTGCTTTACACATTCACAATCGGTTTGTGCAATTGTGAAGTTCTATGAATGACCAAAGAATTACCAAACATATTTTCTAAATATAAAGGAAAAAAAAAAAAAAAAAAAATAGAATCCTTGGTTCCCATTAAAACAACACCAGGTTGCAATTTGGACACTTGAATGAATTCCAATGTTTTAAAGCTGAGACTTCAAAAGAGAAAGGCATGTTTGCTGCAACATCCGGTGACTGTAATACCTTACTTGGAAAGGTAAGTGGTTAATTTGCATAATTTATAATTTTTATACTAAAGAGCATTTTTATATAAACCAGAAAAAAACCCCTAAACTCTACAGATAAAGTTCTTACCTCCAGTCACTGCTGCAGGTAAGGTTGACATCAAGCTGTACAGCGCAATCAAAAACATACTTACATCTTAGCTCATTTTACAGGTACAGCCATAATCAAGGCACAAAGATCTTCTACAAGTATTTTTCTTCAATAAAGTTGTACAAAATAATATTACATTTTACAGTCTGTACAATATAATAAACCAGCAGTAAAACAAAAAAATATATATAGGGAGAGGACTGTTGTCCAAGAATGATCTGAACGAAAAGGATCATTTGTGGACAGCACAAATAACCTAAGTGAGGGTGGTAAATTTTCTGCCTAGATGCAACAGGCTGAAAAGTAGCTGTAATTCAAATGCCTGAGGTGTGCAGAGACACTTGGCTCCAAAACCCCAGAAAAATTGCTTTGTCTTCACTGTTCCTCTCATTATCTACTCTACTTCCCGTGCCAGTAACGGCTTAAAAGAGGAGGTCACTTTATCAGTTGACCTGCAACTCAGAAATGCTAAAAACTGTGACAGAGTAATAAATATTGTGGTGCTGCTACATTGTGTGTCTACTTCCTCAACAGTATTTAATAACCTGATACAAAGTGCATTAATCTTTTTTTTTCACCCATCAAGTACTCTTCAATGTCATGTTAAAAAGGAAACCCACACAGAGGGATAGGTATGACTTTAGTGTCATCCAGCTGACATACCAGTTTGAACTGACGTTAACCTGCTGGAAAAAATTTAGCAGGGCACGTTCAGTTAAAAAAACACAACCTAAGGGAACAGAGGTAGCCGAAGGGCTTAGTGGAATGACGAAGAAGTGGCATGTCAAAATAAAGCACAAAAATAGTCCCAAAAAGCATGAAGGAAAAACAACCCAAACTTGCTTCAAATCAGCTTTAAGGTTAAATAATTAAAGTAAACAAAGTGAAGAGACTGACATTTCTATTGTATATTCTTCCACCCTGTGTGGGGTAGTATCAAGAGAAAGAGTAAGGAGCAAAGAATTTAAAACCACAGGTTCCACGGTGATCCCCCTCACAAGAGTTCGTACTGGCGGAGATGCATCCTCTGAATGATGTCTCGGCAGTCGTTGAACACTCTGCGGATATTTTCTGTGTCCACTGCACATGTAAAGTGTGGGTAGCAATAATGCCGGCCGTCTCCACTCGCCGTACTTATCCTCTGTGGAAAAAGCGAGGGGGGAAAAAGGGTCAGGTGCTGTGCCACGGGACGTTTCACATCTCGGCAGTCTACAGAGTTACGGAGTACCAAGAAACCCAGGAAATTCTCTATATAGCTCATTAAAATAAATAAACAGAAAGAAAGAAGGGCTGTGGTCTGGTCCAATACGAAGCACAAATTTGAAACGAAGATTAAAAGAAGGTACGGCTACTCTCACGGGGTCAGGATAGCAGGACTCTGTAAGAGCCACTGATGCTGTCGTCGGCTGCACATGCCCAGCTGTGCTGCTGTCAGCGCTGCAGTCTGCCATGCGGCTGGCCCACGGATGATTTTCCCTTCTTTTTTGGTGCCATCATGTGGCAAATTTTTGAACTCTTATTTTAAAGCAGCAACACAAAAATGAAAACCTCCCAGTTGCGAAGTCAGCAGTGACAGAGACCAGCACCGTACAGCTTCTGCTGCTTGAAACTGAAGGCCCCTGAAGTTACCTTTGCTTAGAGGACCTATTAAGCTGGCTGAAGGCTCGGTATCACTATTGAGAGCAGAATATGGTGGAGTTATCTCCAGAGTGGCTGGGTTCCCAGAGAATAACAAACCGTGCACAAATCCAGTAAACATCAAGCTACACAGAATTAAATTTCACAGGTCTACTGCACAACTTTTCAGGTTGCTAAACTAAGCTCCAGCATTACTTCACCCGTGGTTACCTTGTTAAAATTCCCCAGGATCTTGAAGTATATTCAGAAAAAAAAATCTTAATTTTATTATGTATTACTATAGGACCGATAAATATAAATCCATTCTAGGTCATTATCTTGAAGAATATATATAGAATGTCACGAAAGCAGATCCGTTCTTGGGAAAGTAATTTTTATAAACCTTTTACAGATTTTATTATAAATTATACTGGCTAAACAACAAAAGACGATGTTCTCTCTCTCTGGCTACACAATGTATTTTTAATATAATAACTTATTTTACATCTAGGATTGACCTTTTAAATACCTCCAGCTACAGATATGCAAAAGCAGAGACATTCAGAAGCCATGATTTACATAATTACATCAACAAGAAATTGCAGGTTTTTGCAGCTGACTGACTCAGGTAACATCAGCGAGTCAACACTCAGACCTATGTCCATAGGTACAGCCTCCAGCTGCTATGGCCCCTCTGCCCTCGTCCCCTGCAGCGCGCCCCCCTGGGCCAGCACGATCGCCGTGCGCTGGAACAAGCGCGTCAACGCTTCCGCAGGGGCTGCGCACAGCAGTTCCGCACGGTAAGGATGCGAGAGGGGGATTAGATCCCCGCCCTGACCTGCTCTTTCCAGGCCTCAATGTCCCATGTTGTCAGTGAGGGCCAGCGTACAAACGCTTTCAGTGCCACCCAGATGTGGGCAGGGGGGAGCACACCACCCTACCGACCTCATGTTCAATCTTTTTCTCGCGTTTGGTGAAACGACTGCTCTTTCACGAAGTGTTTGCTTGTGTTTGTCATGCGCTGATTCCACTAATGCCTGCGGTGGTAAGCTGCCCACAATGTTCTGGTGACACCTGGTTACATATAAGGCACGTCAGAAGAGGTATTTCCAAAATGTTTGGGGTTTTTCTGTGTTTTCTTCTTTTTTTTCTTTTGGTTCCCTCACAGCTCTGTAGTTCTCTCAAGATAAATGCAGTATTTTCAACCCCCTACTCAAAACTCATTTTGTGTAGTATTGTATTACTGGGCACCAGTTCAGAGGTG